ACATCACTCTCACACATACCTTATACTCACATACCTCAAATATCTCACACTCACACCTCACTCACACACACCTCACACAGGACCATGCACACTCAGACTCCGGGGCCAGGGAAGCTCAGAGCGTGTGCTTGTCCCCGCACAGCTTGTGAGCGATGGAGAAATCCCTGTCCTCTGGTGGCCACGCTTGTCCCAGGGAGGGTGGCTGGCCCGGGGAGAGGGACACCCTCACGTCGAGGGGACCTGGCCACCCACCCTGCACATCCTCTCTCCTCAGAAGCAGTTCTGGATCTCCTACAGTGGTGAGTAGGGGGCAGCCGCCATGCCCTGGCCCCCTCCATCGCCAGCTCCACACACCGACACCGACTCACTTGGCAGATGGGGACCAGTGTGCCTCAAACCCGTGCCAGAATGGAGGCTCCTGCGAGGACCAGCTGCAGTCCTACATCTGCTTTTGCCTGCCTGACTTTGAGGGCCGCAACTGTGACAAGAGTGAGCCAGCGGGGGCGGCCAGGGAGAGGGCTGTGGGGGCCAGGCTGGGTAGGGATTGTAGGGGAGACTGGACGGCCTCCCAACCCTGGGACCCAGACTCTCAGTCACGATGGCTCTGGGGGCTCCCAGTCTGGGGACGGTCCACCCTTGCATGGACAGGACGCTGGCCAGGGTCACTATGTCACCACTGGCTCTGGAGCCACCAGCTAGAGCTGCTGAGTTGACCTCAGTTTCTCTGGCTACTCTCATAGAGGCCTACGATTTGGCTTTCATTTCCCCAAAATTAAATTATTACAAAGCTTAAAGGCCCTCTGGCCACACTCAGATTCATTTAAGCTGCAAGGCTCAAAGCCTCGTTAGCTCCCAGTGATACAGCTGACAACCATGTGCCTGACGGTGACAACTACGATGACACAGCTGGCAGTGACAAACCGACAGACATACCACTGACGCAGACAAGGTCATGGCATGTGCCTCCTGTGGCCTTGCCAGTAGGTCTGAAGCTCTGAGCAGCAGAGGAGGGGTAGCCAGGCCATGCTGAGTACCCCTGACCCAGAACTCCCCAGCCCTGGCACCCAGAGTGTCTGCGAGGGCTCAGTGTTGCAAGTGCCATCAGCCCCCCTCATGACCGACCTCCTCTGGGCTTCCAGAGGCCAGCTCAAGGCTCCATGGCAGACCGGGCGCCCAGTCGAAGGCAGGCTCAGCAAGCAGGGTGTTCTCAAGCCCTGAATCTGAGCCCTGAGGTGACCTGTCTGCCACACCCATCCTCTGGGCAGCACCCAGAACCCAGTGAAGGCACAGCTCGGGAAGGCGGCCTTCATGGCCCAGCCAGCCACCCAGGCCCTGTCCCCACGTCAGCTCCCAGCGGTGCCCACACAAGCCATCCCAGCCCCGGTCCCAGCCGAGGCTGGCACTGGCCCTGTGCATGGAGCAGCTGTCTTGCGGTTTGGGTGGACGCTTGGCCCTCCAGTTGCGTGGACAGGCAGGGGCCCCCCGCCCCAGGCCTCTGGTCCTGTCCTCAGAGCAGCCGGTACCAGGCTCACCCTCTGCCCAGTGGTGCCCTCAACCTGTCGCCTTCGCATCCCCAGACAAGAACGACCAGCTGATCTGCGCCTATGAGAACGGGGGCTGTGCCCAGTATTGCAACGACCACATTGGGGACAAGCGCTCCTGCCGCTGCCATGAGGGCTACATGCTGCAGCCTGATGGGGTGTCCTGCTCACCCGCAGGTAACTCCACCCCAGCTGAGGGCAGCTGTCGGGGACAGGGAGGAGGGATGGCTGCCGTGAGCCCAGCCCTGACAGCACAGCACCCTGCAGTGCTCCCTCACCATCTCCCAGGGCACAGGTACCCAGGGGGCTGGATGGGCCTCAGCCGCCCTCCCTTCTCCGACCTGCATCTTCCCTAAACCAGCCTCTAACACACGGGACTGCCATCTCACAGCCTGGGGCCCCCAAAGGCAGCCTTTTCTGCTTCCAGGAGGTGACTGCGGCCTGTGAACCCTAGCACGTCAGGGCCCATCCCAACAGGTGGACCCCTGTACCCCTGCAGCCCCACCTTGACCCCCAAGCCCCGTCAGAAAGCTGTCCCCCTTCCTCTCCCCACCTTCCCTCCATGCAGTTGAGTATCCGTGTGGAAGAATACCTGTTCTGGAAAAGATGGAAGCCAGCCACGCCCAGGGCCGGATTGTGGGCGGCAAAGTGTGTCCCAAAGGGGAGTGCCCATGGCAGGTAAGGAGGCCCCCTCAGCCCCAGGCTCTGCCCAGGGGGAGACCCCAGAAAGAGCATGGGATAACATGAGCACAGGCTGGCACTCCTAAGCCTGAGTCGGCCATTCATCCCTGCCTCTAGGGGGGAAGATGGAGCTCGCCCACCACCAGGAGTCCCCATGTCACTTCCCATGGCCCCATATGGCCCTGAGCCTTGACCTTCACAGAGTCGGAGACTCAGCTCTTCCTGGGCACACACAGCCCAGGCTCTGACACCCACACAGCCAACGGCAGGCCGGTGCCGGGCAGAGGATCCCGCAGGAACCTGGGCTCAGTGGCCTGGCCAAGGAGGGGTCCACAGAGACCACAGGGAAGCCATGGCTATGGCGTGACTGGTACCCCACGTGCCCCCCCCCCCCGTGCAGGCGGCGCTGATGGTGAACAATGGCACACTGCTGTGTGGGGGCTCTCTGGTGAACCCCCACTGGGTAGTGTCTGCAGCCCACTGCTTCGACAAGCTCCGCAGCCTGAGGAACTTGACCATTGTGCTGGGTAGGGTCGGGCACCAGGGGCCAGGGAGGGTAACGGGCACGCCCAGGCACCAGGCACCCTTCCAGCCTCTCTCCAGCTCCTGAGACCTCCCCTCCCCCCGGAGCTGCTGCCTGCCCTGTCAGGGTCAGGTGCAGCCCCTGGGACCCCACATGACCCCCTCCATGTGGCAGGGCCTGGGTCTGGGACTTTTCTAGACGAGATGAAGACTCTCGGGGAGGACAGAGGACAAAGCCTGGGTAGGGGGCACCCTCGGGCAGCCCCTTCCTGCCCTGTCCCCGGAGGCCTCTGACCCCCTGGCCTCCTGGCTGCCTCTCCCCAGGTGAGCATGACCTCAGCAAGAACCAGCGGGATGAGCAGGTGCGACGTGTGGCCCAGATCATCGTCCCTGACAAGTATATCCCGGGCAGGACTGACCATGACATCGCCCTGCTGCGCCTGCGCCGGCCCGTGGTCCTCACAGATCACGTGGTGCCCCTCTGCCTGCCAGAGCGTGACCTGTCAGAGCGCACGTTGGCTGGCGTCCGCTTCTCACGGGTCAGCGGCTGGGGCCAGCTGCTGGACCGCGGCGCCTCGGCCCGGGAGCTCATGGCCATCCACGTGCCACGGCTGATGACCCAAGACTGCCTGGAGCAGTCGGACCGCAAGCCGGGCAGCCCGGAGGTCACGGAGAACATGTTCTGCGCCGGCTACTTGGATGGCAGCCAAGACGCATGCAAGGGGGACAGCGGGGGCCCTCATGCCACCCCCTACCATGGCACATGGTACCTCACGGGCGTGGTCAGCTGGGGCGAGGGCTGCGCGGCCGTGGGCCATTTTGGCGTGTACACACGGGTCTCACGCTACACTGAGTGGCTGAGCCAGCTCATGCGCTCCAAGCCAGGCCCCGGTTTCGTGCGCGCCCCACTCCCCTAGTGCGGCAGACCCCTGGTTCTTCTGCAGAGTGGGGAGATGCAGAGAGAAGCTTGCGGTGAAGGAAGACAGACTGCAGACAGAGGCGTAAGGAGAGGGGCCCCACATCTCCTACAGTGCCACACGTCTCTTGAAGGCTGCTGTTTCACGTGTTTCCCACTTCCGTGAGGATTCCATCTTCATTTTAAATAAACCAGAAGCATCAGCCGGAGGCCCCTGTACTTCTCTCACACAGAAGTGCTGTGTGTGCTGCACACAGTGTGCACCTTCTACATACACATGTCCACCAAGGCTGCATGGCTTGTGCCTCTGCATGGCTGGGGCCACCATGCGAGGCTGTCTACAGTTCGCCCAGAGCCTGGCAGCCCCCAGCACACTCCCCAGCACTGGGGCTGGGTGCTCACAGTTGACCCTTGTCAGCTGGCAGGCAGCTGAGGCCCAGGGGTGTCTGCTGCAGTGCAGGGAGGGGCCCTGCCAGGGTTCCCCTAAAGTCCTTAGCCCTAGGATGGAGCTGCGGAGCCTTGGCAGGGAAGGATGGCGAATGGGAAATGGGAAACAGAAATAGGACAGAGGCATGCACGATGTCCAGGTCCCCAACTCTGAAGGTCAAGGTTTGGGGCAAGGGAATGAGCTGTTGTAATGGACTGGTCTGAGGGCAAAGACCCATGCATTCCCAAGCCCACCTACAGCTAGGCCCAGGCCCCTGGCCACTCCATGGCCAGGCCTAGCCCCTACAACCACTCATGGCCAGGCCCAGGTCCCACAGCACTCTCCATGGCTGACTCCAGCCCCATGGCTACCCGTAGCTAGACCTAGGCCCCACGGCCAGGCCCAGACCCCACAGTCACTCCACAGCCTGACCCAGGCCCCACGGTCACACCACGGCCAGGCCCAGGCCCCACAGCACTCTTCATGGCTGACTCCAGCCCCATGGCTACCCCCTACTGGAACTAGGCCCCATGGCCAGGCCTAGACTCATGTCCCACCACAATGGCCACCCTCTCTGGAGTCCCCATTCTTTTGTTCTGGAAAAATTATGAGAAAATGGTGCTATCATTGTAGTTGTAGCACCAAGCGGCTATTAGGGAGATCCAAGAACTCCAAGGTGAACATGGAGTGACATCAGAATGACTGTCCCAGGGCCAACCCAGAGAAACACGGTCACTGAGGAAGAAGGTGCTGGGAGGCAGGGCCAGATGGAGACACGCCCCCACAAAACCCTGTACGCCCAACTCGAATCAGGAGGCTGGGATGAAGTGACCGCCCAGCCTCCCAGGAGCCCAACACAGTGACCCTTGCCCCAGCCGGCACAGCAGGACTGGAGCTGGTGCTTGGCCACACCATGGCCAGACCTCTGAGTCTCATGCTGTTCGGTGCCACCCTGACTGGCCTCCTGCTGCCCGGGAGCAGCGGTGAGTGCCCTAGGGGAGGGGGCACAGGTGGGCAGTCAGGCAATAGCCACAAGGTGCCCGGCCCCAGCCCTGGCTGGCATCACCCACTCCACCTGGGCTTCCCAGCCAAGGAGAGCGGAGTTCCCGGTGAAGGACAAAGATAAGGAGACCGGCGGGGGCCCGGGGTGGGGCATAGACTGGGATGTGACGGGGCAGAGTGAGAGAGAAGTCCCCTTGGACTCCCAGGGAGAATTGGGAGGTCACAGCAGGGATGGCTGGGGACACCATCCTTGGGCTGACTCAGCCGAAAGACGGCACTGTGACGGCACTGCTGGGAAAGTGGGAGGAGAGGGAGGGTCCCCCTCAGGATTCAGGCTGTGGGGCCAGGACCCCTGGCTCTGTTCCTGAGAGGGAGGCAGGAGCCCTATCGAGGAGTGTGGGAAACAGGGGCAGGGAGGCAATAACCGAAGGAAGCAGCGTGGAGAGGTGGGGGAACGCACAGCGGGAGGTGGCAGGGGTGAGGGGAGACCCAAATCAGGCTGGCCTAACGGGTGCCTCTTCACAGTGGCTCTTCCTGTGGCAGGTCCGGCCCTGTCAGGTCCCTTGGTGCTGTCCCATCTACCCTTGACCTTTTCTTGGGTAACCCCCTGTTCCCTGCACAGCTGGGGTCCCTGCTCTGGGCCCATCTGCCCACCCCATTCTTGGGTCCTCCCAGGGGCCCTGGGCCTCCCCTTGTGTGCACAGCACTGATCCTCAATAGCCAGGGGTGTCCCTGCAGCTAGGCCCGCTGCCCATGCTCCCATTTTGTGTGGTGGCATGAGGCCCCAGCAGGCCTGCCTGCCATCCCAGCCCTTCTGGTCTCAACCTCGCCACAGGCAGCACTCCCCCCTCCAACTGCCATACAGCAACAAAAAAATGCAAACCCCAGTCACAGCTCAGACAACACAGGTAAAAAATCCAGGGGTAGAAGCAAGGGCAGCCTGCCTGGCTTCTGCCCTGGCTCCCTCCTGCCAGTGTTCCTCTGCACCCTGTGCCTCTGGGAGCACTGCCAGGGCTCGCCCACATGCTTGCACGGCATCGATCCGCATGCTTGTCCCCTCCACATGACGCTGTCACAGTGAGCAGGACTCACCCCATCTGGTGTTGGTGGCAGTCACCAGCCTTTAGACTAACCCTGGGAGCACTCCCAAAGCTATGAACTGTGTAGGTAGGTCCTTCCACTTCTTCACAAGTTGTCAACCCCTTGATTGAAAACGCCCAAGCATGGTGGCCAGCTGCTGGGGTCACTGGCAACGCCACGGTGCTCTCCAGGAGCACACGTGGGAAACATCTCCTGCAGCAAACACCTGAGGGCCACGAGATTCCCGGGGCCAGTTTCAGGAATCTGCAGATAGTGGGGCCAGCCTCAGGGCTGTGGCCTCCTGTCAAATGGTCAACTCAGACAGTATGCCCAGGACGGGAGCCACCGCTGCACTGGCTTCCCACTTCTGGGTGCCAGCTGTGGTGCCCGTCCCCCGCCCCTGGTGCCAGCCGTGGTGCCCGTCCCCTGCCAAGGAGCCCAGGAGCTGATCCCTCCCGCCCACATGGACCACTCAGACTTGAGTTGCGCTGGCTGGCCTAGCCAGCCCCAGGCATTTCCATTTCAGCCAAGCTCTGCCTCTCTGCCTTTCAAAACGAGCCTGCAATTATTTGGTAGAGAATGCTCCCCCCTACACACATACACCCCTCTCCTCTGAGTGTGCGAACTTGGGGCTGGGAGGAGACTGGTGGATCGTTGGATGGTTGGCCACAGGGACCAGGACAAACGGCTCCATTGTGCTGATGGATGGGGCGGGCGGCAGAGAGGGGACGGGGTGAGGGGTCCAGCGCCTGAAGTCTCACTTGGCGTCCCCCACCTCCCAGTGTTCACCAACCGGGAACGCGCCAACACTGTCTTGACGAGGACTCGCAGGGCCAACTCGTTCTTAGAAGAGATGAAGAAGGGCAACCTGGAGCGGGAGTGCCTGGAGGAGACCTGCTCCTTTGAAGAAGCCCGGGAAGTCTTTGAGGACAATGAGAAAACGGTGAGGGCTGCGGTGGGCCCGCGGGAGGCGTGCACCCAGCACAGCTGCCAGCGGTGCCAGCGGGCAGGAGATGGCAGGGCACCCATTCTGGTCTCCACCAACATGTTTTGTGTTTCCTGGGTGGGACAGGCAGTACCCCAATCAGTTGAGGCAATGGGAAGTTTTGTAAGTGTGGCTGAATCAATTTAAAATGCAAAACAATGTTGATCCAAGGGGGGAAATTGGTTTTCATGGGCCAGCTGCCCGGGGGTTGGGGTGGGGGGTCATCCACCAGATATGGCCCTACCTATGCACATCTGCAGGCCGAGTCCGCACGCCTGGGTCAGCCTGCAGAGACAGCGCCCGGGGCGGACTCGGCGGGGAGGCACGTGGGCTCTGAGGGCACTCGGGTCAGGCCCGTCTAGAAAAGTCAGACCTCGGACAGACACGACTGGGCCAGTGTCAGCGTCGAACCTGATAAAGGGAGCAGCCCTGGCCCTCCTCCCAGGTGCGTCACAGACGCGCAAGGCCGACCGAGCGCGGGAGCACGGCCACCGCTCCGCGCCTGCGCAGCAGGAGGAGAAGGAGGCGCACGCCTGAGAGGACCCGGGCCGCGCCTGCGCAGCAGCAGGAGCCGACCTGGCGCCTGAGAGGACCCGGGTCGCGCCTGCGCAATAATAGGAGCACCGGCCCGCGCCTGCGCAGCAGGAGGAGAAACACACCTGACGCCTGAGAGGACCCGAGCCCGCGCCTGCGCAGCAGGAGGAGAAACACACCTGACGCCTTAGAGGACCGAGCCGCGCCTGCGCAGCAGGAGGAGGAGGAGGAGTACGTCTGAGAGGACCCGGGCCGCGCCTGCGCAGCAGCAGGAGTCGCTCCCCAGCAGACGGGGGAAGGCTTGTCCGCTTGCAGCAGGAGAGGCGGAATGTTTGCCTAGCCTGGGAGTGAGCAAGAACGTGTGTTCTCAGCTTAGGCCTCAGGGTAAGGTGGCTGGGTTCAGGGGTTTGAGGTGAAGGTGAGCCAAACGGACAGGAATCAGGTGAAGACAAGAAAAACAGCAGAGAGACCCCTGAAAACAGCCATCAAGCACTGAGGCGGGCTGAAACGGGGACGGCGAGAGCTGCTCTCCCACGGAAGGTCACTGGCAGGGCCTGCCCACACAGCCTCCAGGAGCGAGGGGACCTGCAGCCCAGACCGCGTGACGGGCTCGCCCTGTCGGGGAAGGTCGCGCTGCAGGTTGTGACCTACTCAAGCGCAAGGAGTTGTTCAGAGCTTCCGGGAAATGGGATTGGAATTTGGGAGAAAACTGACGAAGTGAGCCAAAGGAGTGGAGCCTCGCTCTGTCATGCGGCTGGGCCCGGGTTTTTGTTGCAGGATCATAGCAGTTCTGTTCTTGAACCTGTCTGAGGAAGAATTCGGGGCCAGTTCGAATCAAGCAGTAAGTTCTGTCAGGGAAGGCTGGAGCTGCAAGCTGCCCAAACAGCAGTTGCCTCTGTCAGTGGAGAAATTGCCTTTGTCTGACTATGAGATATTCCTCCCTCGAGGTGGGACTTCTGTAGCAAGACTGGGGGACCCTGTTTTGGAACAGACCAGATCTCTCATGAAAGTTTTGGGATTTCTATATTACAGAAGAATTTTTTGAAGGAGTTGGGGCAGAAGGGGGAGTTGTCTGCCATATAATCTGAACACATCTGTTATGCCGACTTGGAAGTAGCAAAAATACTGCAAAGAATTCTATAAACATGTTTGCCTGAAAGTGGGACTACTTGGATGGAATGAGTCCATTTCAAACACCACAAGCTGCCAGCATACCAGATAGAAGCGATATCTCCGAATTCAATATTACTTTAAAACCTAAAAAAAAATTTCCAGATACAGGTGGTCGCACTGAAGAATCGTGTCAGACGTTTCAAGAAGAACTCACACCTGTTCTATGTATTCTTCTGGAATACAAGAGGGACCATTCCTCATTTTTTAAACCAGCATTAGCTTGATACCCAAATCAGACAAAGACTGAAGAAAACACTTATATTTCTTGTTAATATAGACTTTAAAATTCTCCAATTATTAAGTTGAATATGATAGCATATAAAAGAAGTTCACATCAACCAAGTGTTTGAAAATCAATAATGTAGCTGCCATATTAATAGTTTACAGAAGGAAATATAAATGGTGCAGGAAAGAATTTGAAAGAATTCCACTTTCATTCATGATTTTGAAAGGAAGAGGCAGGATGGAGGATGGCTCAGTAGTTAAGAGCTTGGTGAGGGCATCCAGGTCCCAAATGGGAGTGCCTGAGTTTGAGCCTCAGCTCTGACACTGGATTCCTGCATCCTGGTATTGTAGAGCATGGCAGGGAGGGGCAGTGGTGACGGCCCAAGTAATCAGGCTCCTATTGTGCACGAGGGCCGAGGCCCGGCTGGACTGAGTCCCCCAGCCCCATCTTGAGCCTGTTGGGTGTATGGGGGCTGGCCCAGCAGGTGTAGTGTGTTGCTCCTGTTGGCTGTGTGGGCATGGGGGCTGATCCAAGAGGTGGAGTGTTTTGGCCTCTCTCACCTGTGTCTATCTGCTTCTCAAACATGTGGATTTTAGAAGCTATCAGCCAGATATGAGCAGACAGAAACTCCCACAGCACGATGAAGGGCGTCTGCCAAGACCCTCAGCAGTCTGGGCATCTGTAATGCAGAGCCTGGGACGATGCCAGGCTGCCCACTGCAGAGCTCCTGAGTTAGCACTATCATGGCAGTCACAGGAGGGCCTGGACCCATCCAGGAAAATCAGGTTACCCTGTTGCAGCTGACATGAAATCCCAAGGAATCCGATTACAGAATTCAACCCATGAGCCATTATTGAAATGAAACTAAAGTACAGTGAGAGTTACTCCATGTCTCTGAGAATGGAGGAAATATTCATAGAAATTGGTGCTATTTAGGAAATAGAGTAGTCAGACCTTTCTGGACACTAGTGGTGTGCCAAGGGAACCACCATTTGACTAACATATCCTGTTCCTGTATATTCTCCCAGAGAAGTGAAAATTTTTCATGTAGAAACTGTACATACAAGTTTGAGCAACTATTCACAATTGCCAAAAACTGAAAATAGCATCAATATCTTCTTAGGTGGGGGGTGCAAACATGCAAAGAAATATTCAGCCATCAGTACAGTCCTTCAGAGGGGTTCCCAAACCTGCATGCTGCAGGAAAGAAGCAGGTTTCTTAAGGCTGTAGAGTGCATGGTTAACTCATCCAAAGGTCTCAGGACATCTCTGCTAGCAGAATGGAGAACACTGGGCACAGCAGTGCAGGGGTGCAGCTCAGTGGGGCCGTTCCAGAGGGTGGAACTGTGCTAGCCCTTGGCTGGTTCGAGGGGCTTCACAGAGCTCTAAACCCCAAGGCTGACCTCACTAAAGCCTTCAGAGACATTGTGCCTGTTTCTGGAGCTGTTGTAATGCCAGAGTCCAGCTCCAGCCGAGTTCAGGATTCGCAGAGGGTGTGTGGATTAGGTGTGGAAAAGAAATGGACCTCTACAATTACAGGATCATAATGGACCATGCAAGAAAGCTGTCTGCTTTATTTATAAAGAAGCCATTACAAAGGCTAGCACAGACTTCACACCTGGTCAAGCGGGCATTTCTAAAGATAGTTCTGCCAATTGTTTCCCCTTGAGGCAGGAAATCAGCCGTTCTAATCCCGTGGTCAGGAAGTTCTCAGTAGATGGCACGTATCAATCAGTAACACATTCCTGCTGCAATCCTCATTCTACAGCTTAGTCTTGAATCAGTTAAGGGAGGAAATGCATCACAGAAGGAGGGACCTAAAGATCAAGGAAAGAGGGAAAGATTAGATTCCCACTGCACATGGGGACTTGACACCATTGATTAGCATAGTCAGTGAGGGCAGCCAAGACAGCATGAAGAGTAAAAGGTCCTTTTGCTAAGACGTTAGCAGCAGCATCAACTTCCAAGCTCACATTGATAGGAAAGACCAATCTCCACCGTGGCAGGCGATGCCTAAATAGATTACAGAATTCTCAGCGGGAGTTGCCTGTTGTCCACGCAAAGGGAGGTGGAAATGCCTTCAGGTGGATGCAGAGTCATCTGCCTGGCCTTGCCATGCAGCAGGAAATTCATTGCAGCCTTACCTGCAATGGAACGGTTCTCTTCACACCTTCGTGTCCTCCACACCCACTGCACGGGCCCCTAGCACCATAACAAACAGCCACAAGAAGGTGACTCAGGCACAGGGATTCGTTGTCATTTAGCTTTCAGATGCTACAAACCCCAAATCCAGGCAGCAGCAGGACTCTCCTTGCACATGCCAGGGGCCGAGCACATGTCCTTCGGCCTGCCCACCTCTTCACCTGGCCTCTCCATGGGGCTGGCATTTCCTGTTTCTTACAAGGATATCCACATTGACCTAGGGCCGCAGTAATGCAGCCTGCCCTCCTCTGGCTCAGGCACTCTGAGGTTCTGGTCAGCTTGGAAAGGGAACACAACCAAGTACAGACAGGACACTTGTCACAAAGCTTCAGCGTTTGGCCAGTGTTAGGACCGGCTCTTGGCTAGCTGTGTCAAGCTGGTTATCACTTACCTTGTTGTTTTAGGTCATGACTGACAATCCAAGAGCGTTCCCTGAACGCCTGGCGTGGGTGTATTAACTAGAAGCCATTCTTTGACCTGCTGGGGATTACCAAGCAGTACAGACTCTTTCTGGTAGTCTGTTCCTTGGTGGCTAAGAAAGCTTACTGAAGGTTAATGAAGTGTTGTGAGATATTTACCCTTGGAGACCATCTACATAGTTGCCTGTTACACTGAATCATTCTAGAACAAGTCAGGTTTTTTGTTAAAGGTTTGTTTATTTATTTGTATTGGAAAGGCAGATTTACAGAGAAAGAGAGACAGAGAAAGATCTTTCATCTGCTGGCTCATTCACCAAATGGCTACAACGGCCAGAACTGAGCTGATCCGAAGCCAGGAGCCAGCAACCTCTTCCAGGTCTCCCACATGAGTGTAGGGTGTAGGGACCTAAGGCTTTGGGCTGTCTTTCACTGCTTTCCCAGACCACAAGCAGCGAGCTGGAAGGGAAGTGGAGCAGCTGGGACGTGAACAAGTGCCCATATGGAATGTTAGCACTTGGAGGCAGAGGGTGAACCATTGAGCCGTCACAGGGGCGCCTGGAACAAGTCAGTTCTGAATGTGACCCCATGCAGGCTGAGTTATTGGGCAAAGGCTGCCATCCGTGTGAAATGTATTTTAAATCTATTTTTCCTTTTAGAACGAGTTCTGGAATGAATACAAAGGTGAGTTATTTTCTATTTGAATCTTATGTGGATGGGGTTCATTGAGATATTTAAATTAGGAGAGTTTGCACTTGAATTTTGAAAATATTTCCTGATTTTTTTTCTGTTCCTGTTTGAATCTTTCCTATTTACATCTTTTCAATTCAGCGTGATGTTGTACTAATACATGCTGCTTCTCTCTTGGCCATTTACTTCAGTGTAGGTTTATATCAATGTATTCTTTCTGTTTCACTTCAAGATTTGTTTATTTTTATTTGAAAGGCAGAGTTACAGGGAGAGGAGAGACAAAGATCTTCCACCTACTGCTTTATTGCCCTAGTGGCCGCCATGGCCAGAGCTGAGCTGTTCAGAAACCAAAGCTTCTTCCAGGTCTCCTGTGTGGTTGCAGGGAGCACCCTCCACTGCTTCTCCAGGCACATTAGCAGGGAGCTAGATCAGAAGTGGGGCAGCCAGGACGTGGACAAATGGGCTGCTGCCACCAAGGTGGGTGCTTGCCCACAAAAGCACTGCATTCCTACCTGAGCCCAGGTGCGCCAGGTAGGAAGGCTGGCTCCCTCGATGGGTCAGTGCCGTGAATGTGTGAGCAGGCCACTGGCAGCAAGAGCTAAAGTGGTGCAAGTGACCACTGCGCTCACACACACCCCATGCACATGATCCCACGTTGGTCGTTGGGCTCCATACCTGTAAGTCACATGGCAACAACAGCTGCAGTGTCTCGCTCTGCCAGGGCCCAGTCCGGGGCTCTCCACCCTGCTGTCAGCTCCCTGTGGACATCAGAAAGCCAGCCAGGCACCCCACAAACCGGCAGCTGTAGAGGGGTCCAGACAGGAGGAAGCAGGTTCCAGTACTGTGGAGGATGCCTGTAAGGGTTTATCCATGTCTGTGGTGACGGAAGCTTCCAGGAGGCTTCATGTCTTCACAGATGGCAACCAGTGTCAGAGCAGCCCCTGCCAGAATAACGGCACGTGTAAGGACGGCCTGGGGACCTACACCTGCACCTGTGTGGATGGATACGAAGGCAAAGACTGTGAACTGTGTAAGTGCCCCTGCTCCCAAGGGGAGGGCATGAGGAGTCAGCCGCAGCCTAACTGCTGACACAGTGGCACAGTGGGAGACAAACATCACCCTTTCAATGTGCCCACCCTGTGAGGCGACACCTGCTCTTTCTGCCTCTCTGGGGCCCCAGAGGAGCCCAGCATGGCTCTCACCTCCTGTGTGGACTGGCCTGCCCATCCTGGCCACCAGCATGTCTGTGGTCTGTCCAGGGGAGGCCTGTGCGTGGCTGGCTCCTGCTGGTCTGATACTGTGCCTGTCTCCCAGTCATGCGGAGACTCTGCAGCCTGGACAATGGCGACTGCGAGCAGTTCTGCCAAGAGGATCAGAACTCAGTGCTGTGCTCCTGTGCCAAGGGGTACATGCTGGGCGATGACGGCAAGTCTTGCATCTCCACAGGTGGGAGCCCGGGGCCCCACACTGGCCTGGGGGTTGACCTGGCAGGTGGACAGAGGCAGCCTGAGCTGCTCCCTCACTGAGTCCTGCCTGGCTGCCCTTTCTCTCCCAGAGCCCTTCCCCTGTGGGAAGGAAACCCTGGGTCGTAGCAGAAGATCACTGGCCCCCAATAGCAGCCAGGTCCCCCTGGAAGGCTCTGGCGCACAGCAAGACGACCTGTATGACGAACTCGCCACCAAGAGCCCCTTCGACCTGCTGGACTTGACAGAGTCACACCCTGAAGGCGACAGTAACAGCATCGTGCGGATCGTGGGTGGCCGGGACTGCAAAGAGGGCGAGTGCCCCTGGCAGGTAGCAGGGGGTGGGCACCAGTCCCTGGTTAGCATAGCCCAGCGGGGGCTGCCCTGCTCTGGCAGGGGCAGAAGGGAGAAAGCACAGCTTCCACAGCTTCCACTCTTGATCCTGGGATGGGGGACAGGCCAGTCGCCAAGGCCACCTCTGCTCCTCAGGGAAGGACAGAGACCCTCATTCTTTTTTTTAAAAAAGATTTATTCATTTTTATTACAAAGTCAGATATACAGAGAGGAGGAGAGACAGAGAGGAATATCTTCCATCCAATAATTCACTCCCCAAGTGAGCTGCAATGGCCGGTACTGCGCCGATCCCAAGCCAGGATCCAGGAACCTCTTCCAGGTCTCCCACACAGGTGCAGGGTCCCAAAGCTTTGGGCCATCCTCGACTGCTTTCCCAGGCCACAAGCACGGAGCTGGATGGGAAGCGGAGCCACCGGGATTAGAACTGGTGCCCATATGGGATCCCGGGACGTTCAAGGCGAGGACTTTAGCCGCTAGGCCACGCCGCCGGGCCCGAGACCCTCATTCTTGAGGCAAACCTGGCTTGGTTGTGTTGCTAGCTGCACACCCAGGCAGCCAGCGACATGCCTCTGTTAGCTTTCAAAGGCAAAACAGAGACTCAGATATGACTAAGGGCCACTGATTCAGAAAATACAACCAGGAACTTGGCAGCTAAATTTGAATCTCGCTTGCACAACAGCTGGTGTCTACAGTGAACAGATTCTGTGAGTACCTGGGACTGCCAAACCCTGAAGCACTGGCCACTGCCCTCATCCAAGTCCAGCCAGGTGCCCTGTTGGTCTACGCAGCCATCCTCACAAGAGGCTGGCCGCATCTGCCTGCTGCATGGAATGCCATGCCCCGAGCAGCTCTAAGCACAGGGTTGTCACCCAGGGGCTGTGGGCTGCCAGGGCCAGGCCCAGGGGCCACCTCGGAGGACACTGACCCCTCCCACAGACCACCCTCTTTGTGTCACCCCCTGGGTGACACGGGCCCTCAGGCTGGGCGCTCCTGGGTTCTATTCAGTCGCACACTGCGCCCTGTTCTCCCCCGCCCTAGGCCCTCCTGGTGAACGAGGAGAATGAGGGCTTCTGTGGGGGCACCATCCTGAGCGAGTACCATGTCCTCACAGCGGCCCACTGCCTGCACCAGGCCAAGAGATTCAAGGTGAGAGTAGGTAAGTGATGCCGCGACCAACGCCCCGTCCTGTCTAGGAGGCTGCCTCACCTGTGGGACCACCTCCCCTGAATCCATGCCTTCTCTCCCGGCCCCAGGGCTGTCTAGTGGGAGCCAAACACACACTGTCTGAGTCACTGTGGTCACATCAGATGGAAGGAATTAGAAAGTAGCGACTTAGCATGGAGTTTTCTTGACACTACATTGAAGTAGCTACACCCAGGATACCCTTTAAAAAACAGATTTATGTCTGTAAAAGGCAAAGTTACAGAGAGATCCTCCATCCGCTGGCCCACTCCTCCCCAGCCAGGGTGGGGCCGAGGCTCCGTCCAGCTCTGCTATGTTGGTACAGGGGCCCAAGTGCCCAGACCATCCTCCACTGCCCTCCGCGGTGTACCAACAGGGGCTGGGCCTGGAAGTGGTGACGTGAGCAGTTTCACCCACAGTGCCACGGCAGCCCCAGAAATCGCTTTCAACGTGTGAATGATTTAGGAGATGGCAATGAAGTGCCCTGCCTCCTCCTGGTCCCTTAATTTTGCAATGTTACATCCAGCAGACGTCTCTGTCACGCTCCATGGACTACGACACCAGGGTTGATGGGGGCGCTGGGGGCCCTGGGGACTGGATTGCACAGACAGCTGGCCTCCACGGCCCTACACTGCCCCATGCTGTGTGGACATGCAGAGGTCATCAGATGCCACTGCCGGGCTTTATAAGAAACATCTTTAGGCAGCTGACAGGGTTCGGGACTGTTGTGCAGCAAGTTAAGGCACTGCCTGCGGTGCTGGCATCCCACATGGATGCTGATTCGCGTCCCAGCTGCTCCACTTCTGCTCCAGCTCCCTGCTGATGGCTTGGGAAGGCAGTGGAGGATGGACAAGTGCTTGGACATCTGCACCCGCATAAAGTCCCGGATGAAGCTTCTAGCCCAGCCCTGGTCGCTGTAGCCCTTGGAGTGGCCAGCAATGGAAGCTCCCTGTGTGGCTCTGTCCAGTGCCAAGCTAACAGTAACCCTGCTCTCATTCCACTTGCCCTGCCGCAGGGGACCGGGACACGGAGCAGGAGGAGGGCAACGAGATGGCCCATGAGGTGGACGTGGTGATGGTTCACAACAAATTCGTGAAGGAAACGTACGACTATGACATCGCGATGCTGAGGCTCAAGACGCCCATCACCTTCCGCAGGAACGTGGCCCCCGCCTGCCTGCCCGAGAAGGACTGGGCCGAGTCCACGCTGATGGCGCAGAAGTCAGGCCTCGTGAGCGGCTTTGGGCGCACACACGAGAAGGGCCGCCCGTCCACCACGCTCAAGGTGTTGCAGGTGCCCTATGTGGACCGCAACACCTGCAAGCTGGCCAGCAGCTTCAGCATCACACCCAACATGTTCTGTGCTGGCTATGACAACCAGCCAGAGGATGCCTGCCAGGGTGACAGTGGCGGCCCCCACGTCACCAGGTTCCGGGACACCTACTTTGTGACGGGCATTGTCAGCTGGGGTGAGGGCTGTGCCCGCAAGGGCAAGTATGGGGTCTACACCAAGGTCAGCAACTTCCTCAGATGGATCGAGAATTCCATGCGGGGCAGGGGTTCAGCTGTGGCTGAGCCAGCCAAGAGCCCCAGGCCTGCACAGCCCACCATTAAAGCGAGCTCCCCGTGAGCCCCGGGGCACTAGTGTCTGACTGTTTACCAGGTGGGGGCTGCCGGTTCCTGCTGTCCGCTGACCAGCTGCTGATTTCCACAAGACCCATTCCCAGGGCAGGGTGGAGCCTAAACTGCCTGCCTGGGCTACTTCCCAGCCCAGTGTCCTGGAGGCCTCTCCAGCAGGCGCCACCTCTCGAGTGGCCCTCCCCTGCTCATCCCTGGAATTTAGATGCCATCATGCTGTGTCCTCTGGTCAGAGGACCTGGAGAGCTGCTCTTTGGGCGTTCTCTGAACACATGTATTTATTTGAGAGGCAGAGTGAGAGTGTGTCCACAGGTCTCCTCCCCAAGGGCCTACCATGGCAGAGACTGGGCTGTAATCAAAGCCAGCAGCTGGAAACTCCATGCAGGGACTCCCACGCGGGGGCAGAGACCCAGTACCTGAGCCATCAGCTGCTACTCCCAGGGCGCGTCAGCTGGAAGCTGAGCTCGAAGTAGGCCTGGGAATAGCCAGCAGCCAGATGCCTGCTGTGTAACAGGCACGGATGTGGGGAGCCCCACCCCGAATCAGGCTCAGGTGGGGGACCCCCTCCCAGCTGCTTTGGGGACTGCTTGGGACCTTGAGGCACAGCCTGGGACTGACACTTGACGTGGGGTAGGGCTGCTGGGGTGACCCCAGGGCTGCCGGGTCCTCTGTGGGAGTCACCAAGGCATGGCCTGGCTCAGCTAATGTTGCTGCTCAAGCAGAGGGGACCAGGGCCCTTGTTTGTCTTGATACAGCCTATCTGACCGAATGCCAGAGGTCACAGGGCAGGCAAGGCCTTTTCTGCAAACACAGCTGCCGGGTCAGGAAAAACCAATAAGCATCCAGCTTCCCTGAATATGTCCTTGCCGGCCAGCAGGCAGCCTGTGTGGGGTGCAGCCGCTCCGCCAGGCTGGCCCCGAGGATCCTCCAGAGCCTGTGTGGGCTCCAGGTCCAGTCCTGAGCGTGAACAGGCACAGACCCAGGTCCTTTGCCAGGGTCAGAGCTGTGTGAGATTCACCATGACACCAGGCCTTTGTTGATTACAGGTCCCCGTGGGTAGTGCGGAGGAATCACATGTCACAACTCCTGCCACCCTGCTGGGGCCGGGGACCCCACACCTACTCAGGGTTCTGCAGTGTGGCCTGGGGCCGAGGACCCACACCTACTCAGGGTTCTGCAGTGTGGCCTGCCGGTGCTTTCATGAGGCCAGCGCATCTGCGCTGGGCGTTTGCACATGGGCACCTGATCCAGGGGCTCCCTTGGGTGTCCTCTACAACTAGCTCCAGTGCTCACAGCCTGGAGATGTGTGGCCTGTTCCAACCTTTTTTAAAGACTAATTTTATTTGAAAGGCGGCATTGAAGAGAGGAGGAGAGTTGGAGAGAGGTCTCAGGTGGTCTCTGTGTGGACTCAGTATTTCTTTTTAAGTCATGGCTCTTTTTAAATTTTTAAAATTTTATTTTTGATGATGTTTACATAGTTGAGAGAGATGCATGCCCATGTAGATAACCAATCAGGGGGAGGAGAGTTGAAGAATGGGGGAAGTGGATGAGACAAATGCCTCCAATCTCCCTTTTACTTCCTGTATCTGAGGGAAGTGGAGAGAGAAGGGGAGAGGGGGCTCCTTGATCCAGCCACATTAGTATACAATGTCATCCCAGGGTCCCTGATGTGCAGCACGTCCTACTTAAGTGTTTGTTTGTTTAAACATTTATTTATTTTTATTGGAAAGTCAGATATACAGAGAGAAGGAGAGACACAGAAAAGGTCTTCCACCTGCTGTTTCACTTCCTAAGTTGCCACAATGGTTGGAACTGAGCCAATCCAAAGCCAGAAGCTTCTTCTGGGTCTCCCATGTGGGTGCAGGGTCCCAAGGCTTTGGGCCATCCTTGACTGCTTTCCCAGGACACAAGCAGAGAGCTGGGTGGGAAGTGGGGGCTACCTGGATATGAACTGGTACCAATATGGGATCCTGGCACATGCAAGGCAAGGATTTTAGCCACTAGACTACCATGCTGGGCCCTTAAGTGGCTTTAATAGTTCTGAGATGCTGTTGATTTCATTGCTCCGAGGCTGGGGAAATCTTTCCAAGGTCCATTGGCTGACCTAGTCCACTTCAAGGTCTCCATTTGTCTAGATTCTTATCCAGAGGAGCTGTCCAGTTTGTTCTGCCCTCCATGGCACTAGACTGTGCAGACTCCAATGAACAAGCACCTGGGCCTTCCACTGCACAGGTCCCGGGACTGTGGAGACCCAGTGCGGACACGCACTCCACTGTGATGCTCACTGTGGCCAGAGTTCTGAGTCCAGTGATTTAGTTGGGAGGGTCTCCAGAGAAAGCTTGTCAGAGGTGACATCAGACCTGACTCCTGTGTGTGCCAGCCAGCGTGCGGTCTGTCTCACTCTACCATTCACGTCAGCCTACACACATACACACACGGTGCTGCGTCACCTGGTCAGGTCTGTCCCCAGCCCACTATGCCGGAGACCAGCTCCAGCTGAGTTTTGAGCTTGAGAAGGATGTGTGGAGTCAGCAAGGATGACATGGGCCGCTGTGACTTTGTGCTCATAATGGACAACTCACAAAAGCTGTCTTCTTTATTTTTTTTAAAAGATTTATTTTTATTATTTTTTTATTGGAAAGGCAGATATACAGAGAGGAGAGATAGAGAGGAAGATCTTCCGTCCGATGATTCACTCCCCAAGTGAGTGCAACGGCCAGTACTATGCCGGTCCGAAGCCAGGAGCCTCTTTCGGGTCTCCCACGCGGGTGCAGGGTCCCAAAGCTTTGGGCTGTCCTCGACTGCTTTCCCAGGCCACAGGCAGGAAGCTGGAAGGGAAGCGGGGCTGCCGGGATTAGAACTGGTGCCCATATGGGATCCCGGGCGTGCAAGGCGAGGACCTTAACCACTGTGCCACCGCGCCGGGCCCTGTCTTCTTTATTTATACAGAAATTATCACAAGACTTTGTGCAAGCTTTTAATTGTTTCTTTTATAACTTCATGATTGAAAAGGTGATTACAAAGGTAGTTCCAAAAAGTATTAAGATCAGCTCACTTTAAAGCAAGCCATTACTCAAGCAGACCTGCAGTCACTGGCTTCGCCCAGGAACTCTGTGGTTGGCACACATGTGCTTACATAGTGACAGGTGATTCACTTATTATCCAAAATTAATTTTTACTAAACCTAAACTAATATTAACGAATCAAAAATGCAAACTTAAACTAATAAAAATAAACACAAATAAACTACAATCACCTTTACCTAGTACTGGTTTGATTATTAATAGCATTTTTGTTCTTCTGTTAAAAGGCAGTGGGAAGGATCAAGGCAGCTTGGCCCTCTAAGAAAGGAAGGCTTTCACAAGAAACTTTTTCTTCTTTTAGACAACTCTCTTTCCTAAAATGTAAGTGCCAATACAAGCCAGAGGTGGATCCCCATCCTCCTCTAGGGGCCCGCCAGATTCTTTTTTCCTTTTAGAAAGCAGCCCAAATACTTTCATTCTTTTTTTTTAAGATTTATTTTTATTGGAAAGTCAGATATACAGAGAGGAGGAGAGACAGGAAGGTCTTCTATCTGTTGTCATGCCCCAAGCGGCCACAACGGCTAGAGCTGAGCCAATCCGAAACCAGGAGCCTTTTCAGGTCTCCAACACAGGGCAGGGTCCCAAAGGTTTGGGTTGTCCTCCACTGCTTTCCCAGGCCACAAGCAGGGAGCTGGATGGGAAGTGGAGCTGCTGGGATTAGAACCGGTGTCCATATGGGATCCTGGTATGTGCAAGACGAGGATTTTAGCCGCTAGGCTACTGCCAGGCCCTCTCCCACTTCTGATCAAGGATCTCCTATGATCATAAAATCTTACCCATATAATCCAGTATCATCTCCCTGATCAGCTAATTTCCAATCTTAATTCTACCATATGGGATCCTGGCTCATTCAAGGCGAGAATTCAGCCGCTAGGTTACCACACTGGGTTTTGAGTATTATATCAATTACACAAACCATTCCACATATGCAGATAGACAACAGTGTCCCTGAGAGGATTCTGAGAAATTCCAAATGGAAGGTTGAGGGTCCATACAATGAGGCAAGGTGGCAATGAAGTGACCGGAGACATTGGCTGGGCCTTGCCATTCAGCTGGAAACTGCTTGCAGCCTTGCCAAGGGAGCAGGGTGTCGAGGGCAGCAGCCCGTTCCTCAGAGCAGTGATGCTGGCACAGAGCTGGCCCCATCACTCCGTGGGACAGTGGGAATGCGTGCTGTGCTTAGTGTCCTGGTCTGCTGCAGCTCTGTCCCTCTGGGGGCCCTAGCCCACCTCCACCCGGTGCGTCCTCTATTGGACACCAGCCCCTCCAAACCAGGCCTCCTTTGCCACACGAGGAGGTAATGAGGCAGGGCCACCTGGGAAGCTGAGAGCAGACCCAGCAGACGTGTGTCCTGCCGCTTGGTTGTGGGCTCAATGCCTCCACACTGCTGCATCCATCATGCTAGCGCAGCCCCAGAGGCTGGTTGCTGTGAGCTGGAGCCCTGCAAAGGCCAAGAGATGAGGCAGACAAGACAGTGTCCGGTGGGCACTGGGCTTCCCTTGGTACCACAGCACCAGTGGGGTCTGCAAGCAGAAGTGATGCAAACATGTAACTGTGCAGTTAATTTCTTAATGCTTAAAGAAGGTGGCAAAATGTGTCTCCCTATGATCCTGTGAGAAGTCGTCACCTCAGACACGGCAGGATGACCAGCACGGCCCCTATGGTCCTGTGAGAAGTCACCTCAGATATAGCGCCATTCATGGTCCATCCATGTTCCTCAGACTCAGTCCCAGAGCCACAGCAAACTCTATGCCTGCTGACAATTAGAACATTGAAATCCAATTACTTTGCTTTTACAAAGAAGCCTTGGTGCTGGAGTTCTGGTATAGCAGGTAAAGCTGTCGCCTGCTCGTGCATCCCATGTGGGGGCTGCATCTTGTCCCGGCTGTCCCACTTCCCAGCCAGCTGAAGGTCTGGGAAAGCAGCAGAGTGCTATGGCACTGTTTCTCACAGGAGACACAGAAGGGTCCTGGCTCCTCTCTGGCCACTGTGGCCATCTGAGAAGGGAACCATCAGATGGAAAATCTACTGTTATTCTCTCTGTAATTCTTTCAGATAAATTAACAAATAGACCTTAAAAAAAAAGAGGCCTTAAGTTGCCACACATTTTGGTTTATATTTATTTATTTTTTAAAAATGATTTTATTTGATAATTTTTACATAGTTGATTAGAGCACAAAGGCCAAGGGCTACAGGAAAGTGCATAAGACCAGTTTCCATATTACTATTATTATTTCTCTGTATCTGGGCCAAGGGGGGAGGTAAAGAAAGAAGCCCCACCCAGTCTCCCACCCATCCCATGTCCCCGACATGGGGCATGCTCCAAGGGTCCTGCTCAAGTGGTTTTGATAGTTCAACAGTTCTGAATTGCTTCCAGTCTCGCCATTCTACGCACGATAAAATTTCTGCAGAATCCACTGGCTGACATAGTTCACTTTAGAGTTTCTGTTCACCCAGATTTTTACTACCAACACATGGCTGGTGTAGTCGATTGATTTGATCTGTCCTCAGTCCTCTGTTATGGTGCCAAGTGTCCTCTGCAGGCTCCAATGGACTGCCATATCCTCCATGTGCGCCTGGATATGCTGTCCACTGCTCCATCTGACCCTCTGAGGAGGCTCAGCTTTGATACTTGGACTCCACGGTCAGACCATGGAACCTGCAAATCTCTTCATGGGTGAGGTTCTGGGTCCAGCAATTCAGCTGGAGGGATCCTCAAAAAAACTTTGAGGTGATCCCAGACTGATTCTTGTGTGTGCTTGTCAGTACAGGGTCCGGCAGAGTCAGTTGCCCCAATCAGCTTATGTATATGCTGGTGGTTGCAATTGCTGGGTCAGTTCTGTTTCCAGACCTGTCTTCCACACGAACCAATGGATGTTGCAGTCCAGCCTGATTCTGCCCACCACGCACTTGGCCCCCACACTAACCAGTAGGAGCTGCAGCCTAGTCGGTGCAACCCGCAATAACATCCACCAGGCCTGCCCCCTGCCCTGTTTTCCGTGCTTGCCAGTATGTACAGCATAGTCCAGTCTGTCCCACATCCTATTCAGCTCTCATACATATCAATGGGCATTGAAGCCTAGTTCAACCCAACGGGACCCCCTATTGAGCCCATACCCATGCTGGCGGGTGCTAGCTCTACTACCCAGCCCACATACATGCTGTTGGATGCCTTTCTGTCTAGCCACCTCTGCCCCTGTTCTGGTTTTTGTGCCCTCCAGTGGGAGTGGTAACCCAAGAGGGAGGAGCCCACTATTTCCCTTCTAGGCCACTCCCACTCCCGGATTGTGCACTCTCCAGGTGGTTCTGCAGTTTAACCTGACAGAATTAGCCCCCCATGCTAGCATCTGCCAGCTGATGCTGCAGCAAAGCCCAACCAACCCTCACCCACTCTGATTTATGCTTGCACCAGCAGGAACAGTCAGCCCAGTGTGGCTTTTCCCCAATCTAGCTCACATGAGGCCCACAGGTGTTGTGGCTCTGCCTGGTCTGCCACCATCCCAACCCATACTCTCCAGTGGGAGTGGTGGTCCAGCAGGGGAGCCCTCCACATTTCCCCTACCAGTTTTGCCTCTCCTCCCCCTGGTTCTCATGTGTACTGGTTGGGTGCTGTGGCCCAGTCTGGCATGGCCTCCCTCGCTTTTTGCCAGTGGATGCTGTAGCCTGGTCCGGCCCAGCCCACCATCAATTCCAGCTGACATTGGTTTGGGTTACAGCCTAGCCCAGCTCAGCAGGTACCCAATTCCAGCTGTAATGTGTATTGGTATGTGTTGTGAACTAACCTGGCCCGACTCACACTCTGTTGTGGTGCTTGGATTTGCCAGTGGGTGATTTGAACTGGTTCAGCCTGGTCTGCCCCCAACCTATGCCAAATGAATGCCAGTGGGTACCTTTCCCTGGCTTGGTCTGGGCTGCTTCCAACTGTGGTTCTTGCACTCACCTGCAGGGACTGCATCCTGACATAGAAGTGTCCCAAGCTTCCCCATCAGAACCTCTCCCAATGCCAGACCTTGTGCATACCAGTGAGTCCATGGGCCAGCCCTACTCAGTCCACCTCCTGTCCTGGCAGGAATAGTGGCCTTAACCTGACCGGCCTTCAACCCATTCCGGTTCTTACTGTTGAATGTTTCAGCCCAGTCAAGGCCCGTCTATACCCAGACAGCTCACACATGGCTCAGTAGAGGCAGAGACCTACCCTAGTCCATCCTATATCTACCCTTGTCCTCTAGAGCACCAGATGGTGCTGGGGTCTATCCCGGCTTGGTGTACCCTGCCCTAGTCTACACTTGTGCCAAGGGACACCACAGTCATATCCAGACCAGAACACGGCCCCCACTTCATTCCCCACATTCACCAGTGGGAACCCCAACCCAGCCAGGGTGTGCTCTTAGCTCCCCAACCAGGCCTGTTCCAGCTATAGATCATGTGCATGCTAGTGGTTGCTCTGACCCAGCTTGGCATAGCCCCTCACCTGTCTTGGCCTTTGCCTTTGATGCTGTAGCCTGGCATCCCGGGCTCATTCAAACCAGCCAGTGCAAGAGTCTAGCTCGGCATGACCCATGCTCCAGCCTGATTTCTGTTCTTGCTGGTGAGCTAAAGTTTGCTCGGCCCTGCTGGTTCCACCCCCTTCCATAACCAACCCATACTTTAGCCAATCGTTGGAGCTACTTTTCCCAGTTTGCCTGACCCCCAGGTCTGGACTATGTGATCGTCAGTGAAAGCTATGACTCATTAGGGGAATTTCCCAAATTCCCCCATTCGACCCATTCTCAGACCCAGATCTCATACATGCCAATAGGCGATAGGCCAGTGTCCGGCATGGTCTACCCTTCCTTCTTGGCCTTATATGACCTGGTTGCAGCCCGGCCCACTCCACACCTGTTTTACGATGCACATTTGGGTGCTGCTGCCTTACCTGCCCAGACTGTTGTTGGTCCTTTACCAGTGAGTGATGGCAGGTTCCATGAATCACCACCCCAACTCGTAAGCTAACCAGCGGAACTTGTTATTTCCACAGGGTTGGGCCCATTCATCCCCTGCAGAATCTATCCCAGGACCTAGTTCCCTCGCATGCTGGTTGGTGTCATGACCCTTCCTAATGTGACCCATCCCCTGTTCCACACTCAGTCAGCTACTGGGATCTAGCCCTGCCAGACATGACCTTAGCCATAGCTTTGTGTGGGCTGGCGTGTGGCAGTCAGCGATGCTGTGCACTAACAGCCCATCTCAGGACTCCCATGTGGGCTGGTGAATCAGTCTGACCCAAACAGATCTTACAGATTCTCTCCTCCAAACCACCAGGTCTCAGTCCCTAAGCTTGCCAACAAGTTCAGTGACCCTGTTGCTGGGAGTCACACTGCATTCATCCCTCACCTACACTCACATTGGCCTTATCCATGGATGTCCCTAGGCAGCAATTATACACCCATAAACCCTAGAGTTTGCCACCGGGTGGCCAGCCGGCGGAGCCTTGCTTCACTTGGCACAATGGTCCCCCAAAAGTCCAGGACTGCTCACTGTGTGGTGATGGTGTCAATAGCCAGTGTCCCAAACATTGGGTCCGACCTGTCCTCTGTAGCTGCCACGCTGCTGAGGGCTCCTTTACCTGAGCCCCGCGGTTGAACACCCACCCCCAGGTTCCTCCTGGCACAAGGTGGTGGCTGCAGGGAGGGCGCAGTTTAAATTTAATGAATGTTTAAATTCAATAAACATATGTGCCCCGCAAAACCTATCTAATATGCCATTTGCGTGAATTCAGAACACTTTTTTCTTTTTAATAGAAATAACAAAAGGTCACAGAGCTCCTCTGTGAACAGCACTCACAGTAAGCGGGTGGCAGCTGTTCTGGTCCAAAGCCACAAGGAAGGCCAGGGAGCTTGCCAGTGCCTAGGTCTCTGGATGCCTCTATGGTTGGGGAGGAACCCACGGCCTTCCGAGGCTGGGGTGCTCCCAGCGACAGGCATCACAACTCGGCCATGCTGGAAACTTGGTCTCGGATTCCCTGGAGAAGCCTCTGTCCCTGCAGACGGCCAGCACTGAGGACGGCTCGGGAGGCAGGCTCTGGGACGCTCAGCACACAGTGGACAGTGGCGGGAACGGGTTCTGCTTGCTGACAACGAGTTTCTGATGCTGGTGCGAGATGTAGCCCTTAATATGACCCTGCAGGAGCAAAGAGGACCAGTGCCACTCTATATGTGTGACACCTCCCAGGTGCTCGTGCCTTCAAAGGTCATCAAGAACCACACACACCCCACGGCCTCCTGCTAATGCCAACACACTGCACCAATGCTCCAAATGCTAGGCTGGGTAGTGAGGACAGACATGCGTGCGTGTCACACTAAGCGGCAGTCAGGACACACACCCACCCACACGTGTCACACTGAGCAATAGTGAGGACAAAGAAGCACACACACACACACACACACCATGTATATCAAGTTGGCCAGGATGCACTGCACTTCATCGATGTCCACGTCATCCACCTGCATGAACTTCAAGGCAACCAGAAAGGCGTCCAGAGATAGCTGGTGTGTTCTGAGCAGCAGGTACCTGGGAGACAGCACGTGGGTGCTCAGGGGCCAGAGGACACTCACCCAGCAGGAAGGCAGCCTTGAGTGAGCCAATGTGCAGAGGACTGAGAGCAGGGCTGCTAGGTTACACTGTCGTCTCCCAATTCTTACAAGTGGCACATCTCACTCTATACCAGGTGGCAGCTGACGGACTCACTGCGCTGGACCTCACTTTGCTATTCGGCCCACAGCTGCATCAAGAGCCTGGCCCTGTGAGAAGGTCCTGGGGGAGGCCTCAGGCGACGGGGGAGCCAGAGAAAGGCGTGAACATTAACCTTCCTGGCAAGGGGTCAGGAGTCGGGAGACAAGCTCTGGGCAGTGAGTGCCAGCAGCTGGCAGGCACGCTGACCCGCCCCCTCGCAGCAGGACCACATCTGGCCACGGGAGCGCTGACTGATACTCACACTTTCTTAAAGAGGTTCCTGTAGGTGATGATCTTCAGCTTCTCAAGGATGAGGAAGATGCCACAGCGGATGAAGAAGGTCTCATGCTTGGCCAGCGCCTCATTCAGCAGGAGCAGGCTTCCTTCACTGGGGAGATGACACGGGTCACAGAAGAGCCCAGAGTGACGGAGCCCCACAGGTACCCCTTCCCGTGCAGTGTGTGCGTGACACGCAGCATCAGTCCACACTCTGCAGCCGCGGGGCGTGGGTGGAGCGCTGTACCTCACGGCTTTGGTGACTTCAGCGAACTGCATGAGGTGGTACTTCTTCAGAAGCTCGATGGTCGGCATATGCCCCTGAGACAGACACAATTTCCAGAATCAAAGCCACCTCCCTTTGCATAGCATTGTCTCAAGAAAATTTTCTTTGAAAAATTAAGTTTTAGAAACACAGTCTGATCCCTTAGCTGAGCAGAGATTACAGCCACTACAGGATTCCAGGGAGGAAGGAGGAGCACCGTGGTCTGGAAAACACTTTGTCAACAGCAGTGGCACCGCACGGCCTCCACATCCTGACCATCTCGACGGAGAGGCACCGCGGCCCCGCTCCCCACCATCCTGACGGAGAGGCAGCACATGACCCCCGCTCAGCACCATCCTGACGGAGAGGCAGCGCACGGCCCCCGCTCCCCACCATCCTGACGGAGAGGCAGCGCACGGCCCCCGCTCCCCACCATCCTGACGGAGAGGCAGCGCACAGCCCCCGCTCCCCACCATCCTGACGGAGAGGCACCGCACGGCCCCGCTCCCCACCATCCTGACGGAGAGGCAGCGCACGGCCCCCGCTCAGCACCATCCTGACGGAGAGGCAGCGCACGGCCCCCGCTCCCCACCATCCTGACGGAGAGGCAGCGCACGGCCCCCACCATCCTGATAAGGGCGGGATGGCAAGGATGGAGGGAATGCTTGAGGAAGCAGCAGACTTGGGAATTCTGGATGTTGTGCAGAAGACTCAGCTAGAAACTGGCCATCTCTTAAGTGGGCTCAGAAACTGGAGGGGCAGGCAAGCTGTTGCTACTTCAGTGTCAACCACATGTGTGCACTTGTTTTGAGAATTTCAAGAAAAGATCGAGTCATATGAGGATGTAATAGTTAATCAACTTCCCAGGAATCTGCAATTTCTTGTCAAGAATCAAAGTCAGATTTTGGTGACTAAATAAAACGCCAAAGTTGAGGCTGCAGCAGTGTTTCACTAACTTACTGATCCTAGCTGGGAATCTAGGGAGCCAGGGCAACGACACATGCCGGGTACAGGCAGAGGCTCCCAAAGACACGCCCTCCTGGGCGGCACCATGGGTTGAGTGACAAAGACCCACACACACAGCCACCATGGGTCAAGCTTAGGGACCCACACACGTGTCCGTCACCACTGAGTGCGGAAACCCACGCACGTGTCCGTCACAGGCTGAGAGTGGAGAACCACATGCGCCTCCATCACCACTGAGTGCAAGGACCCACACGCACATCTGTCACGGGCCAAGCGCGGGGCCCACACGTGTCTCCATGACACTGAGTGAGAGGACCCACACGTGTGTCCGTCACGGGCCGACTGCAGGGCCCACACGTGTGTCCGTCACAGGCCGAGCGTGGGGCCCACATGCGCCTCCATCACACTGAGCCCAGGGCCCACACACGTGTCCGTCATGGGCCGAGTATGGGGCCCACACGCGCATCCATCACACTTAGTACAGGGCCCACGTGTGTCTGTCACCACTGAGTGCGGGGCCCACACGCGTGTCCGTCACACTGAGTGCGAGGACTCACCAGCAGCATCTTGACTGGCAACAGGTAGATGAGAATCATCCTCTTGTTCTTCTGGCTCAAGCGGTGGCAGTGCTCAAAGGCGAAGGACAGGTACTCCTCAGCTGCGTGGAAGCCCGCAGTGAGCCAGCTGCGTCCAGCCGCCCTCCAGCCTCCCCAGCCCGCCCCGCAGTCCCCGTTCTGTCCTGACCATCACCCTGAGGGCCACAGCCTGGCTTCGATCCTGTTCAATTCCCAGGAGCAGGAGCTGTGGGGAGTCTACTGCACAGAGGAGACAGGACTCCTGCAAGCCCACGTGGCTCCATGACACGAAAGACCATTGTCCCTATCAGGCATCTCATTTATATACAAACACCTGTCCTGACAGTGGCATTAAAAAGCAGTCCAGTTCATACAAAACAGCTATCACCTTCATGGATTTGAAAATACAATGGTGATACTGGGCCTGGTGCGATAGCCTAGTGGCTAAGGCTTACATGCGCTGGTATCCCATATGGATGATAGTTCGTGTCGTGACAGCCCTTGCTTCCCATCCAGTTCCCTGCTTGTGGCCTGGGAAAGCAGCTGAGGACGGCCCAAAGCCTTGAGACCCTGCACCCTCATGGGAGACCTAGAAGAGGCTCTTGGCTTCAGAATGGCTCAGTTCCGGCCATTGCGGCCACTTGGGGAGTGAGTCAGTGGATGGAAGATCTTTCTGTCTTTTCTTCTTCGCTGTATATCTGACTTTCAAAAAAAAAAAAAAAAAAGAAGAAGAAGAATAAATCTTAAAAACAAAAAGTGCCTCCCCACTGTGCTCTTTCTGGTGGAGGGAGGCACAGCAGAGGCCTGGCCCGGCACCCAGCATGTCCGGCTGCAGGCCTGCTGAGGGAGCCGCCTTGGCCGCTGAAGTGCCGGCTGTTCCAAGCCCATGCTCAAGTGCATGGGTTCCAGTCCCGGCTCAGCTTCTGACCCAGCCTCCTGCTGGGGGCACCCCGGGAGGCAGCAGGGGCTGGGGGCCTGGATGGAGTTCCAGGCTGCAGCTAAGGGCTAGCCCCATCCCAGATGTGCAGGAACTTGGGGAGTGAACAAGTGTAAGGGAAATCTTTGTCCCCTTTCCTGCCCTTCATATAAAATAAAAATTTACATACACATTTTAAGTTTTAAAAGCAAAAAGAGTGGCCTCAGACTCTTGAGGGAGAGCATGGAATCCAGCACGGGTGCTGTACGTGTCAACCGCGGCTACTCTGAGAACCCACGGCCAGGAACATGGCACCAGGCCATGGTGCCCTTCTTCCCACTTCCCACACTGGCACTACCAGCATATGTGAGTGACGGGGTCAGACAGCAAAGGCGGCAGGCACGGTCACGTCCTGCTCGGATGGGGCCACATGCAGCCACTGCAGCTGCAAGTGACACCAAGGTGGATCTCAGGAAGCCAGCGCAGTGGACGGACCTCAGCAACGCTACCACTTCGAGAGCACAAAACAGATCACACGCACGTGCCCCGCCAAGACACGACCACCGCCGCCGTGTTCTCAGGGCTCAGGCCTACCTTGCTTGAAGTCGCTGTCGAACATGGCCTTGCGGCCCACGTAGTACTTGTAGGTGACCCTCTGGGCTGTGCTGTAGTCATCCTTCAGGTTTGAGCTGTCGATGGCTCTGATGAGGGGTTTGCACAGATGCAGTTTGTTGATCTACAAGGAACAGTAATGCACTCCACATACGCAGTAACAGCGAGAGCGGAGACACGACAGCCTGCAATCCCAGGCAGGAGCCCCGACATGAGAAGACACACCTCTTGCACCCCAAGACTCGGCACCTGACAGGAAACTGAACAAATGGCTGCCTGGTGCGCATGGCATGTGCCTGGTAGGTCCTGGCAGGAGCTGGCCACTCTGTCCCAGCTGTCTACCTGTGGTAGCCGCTGGTCACCGGCTGGCTGTGAGCCCACAGTACAGCTTCAGGGTCAAACTCCCCACAAAGGACGCTTGCCCTCCACACTGGGCAAGTCGCACCGCACAGCTACTGTCACAGCCCAAACTGCTGTGGACGGACGTGCGCAGGGCAGCTGTTAGGGCTGCGAGCACAGTCCCAGTGCCAGGAGGGTTGGCTAACAAACAACGCCTGGACCGGCACGGACAGTTTATCATGCACGCAGACAGAAGCATACCTTAAAGTAAATTTTAAATAACTGGTTCACCAAGAATAGCATTCCCCACTTCTTGGAGTCTTCTATACCAGCACGTCTGTGGGAAGACAACTGTTTTTAACATCACAGAAGAAATAACAATTTTATTTACAAATCAGAAAAGAAACTGCCTAAGGAAATTACTAATATGAAATAAAATCCCACAGCTCAAGTCATACTCATCAAATAAAACAATGTGAAAAAAAGTCTTCTCTATTAAGTAAAACTGAAAAGCCAGCTAAAGTGCGGACACACCCCATGTACAGATGCCAGGCCTTGCAATTGCCACTGCAGGGGCACTGGTGCAACACACAGGCACCTACTGGGTTGCGCCAGGCTCAAGGGGAGTCACAATAATGCATGCTGCCTCCGGGGCCAGGCTGGCACGGAGTTGTGGGCTCTCAGCTCAGCACACACTCTGCTGTGGCCTGAGGAGCCCACTGGATGGAGATTTCAGCTCAGAATAGAAGAGAAAGGAAAGTTCTCCAATGTTTGCAACTAACTCTGACATACATAGCAGGAGGAGTGCTCAACTGAGATAAGCTGGCGCACAAAAGGTACATGAAGATTCCACGGAACAAGAAGTGTGGCACGTGTGGGGAGGGGGGCACAGGGACAAGGGCACATGTGGACAAAGCTGGGGTGCAGGGACAAGGGCGCATGTGGGGAGAAGCTGGGGTGCAGGGACAAGGGCGCATGTGGGGAGAAGCTGGGGTGCAGGGACAAGGGTGATGCAGGCGGTAGTTGGGGTGCAGGGACTCCCTGCAGAATCCTTCCACCTCTGTAACCATGTGAAGCTTCCAGGAAGAAACAGCATCTCAGAGAACATGCAAGTCAGCTGTGTGCTCACACTCGGCCAAGGATTCTTCTGCATGAGAGAGGCCCATGGCTGCTGGCAGGTGGAGGGCCAGGCCTGCGGGGATGGTGAGGCCACTGCATGGCCATCCCACACAAGCACCACTTCAAGTCCCAGCTGCTCCACTTCTTTTCTTAGGATTTATTTTTATTAGAAAATTAGATATACAGAGAGGAGACAGGAAGATCTTCCGGCCGCTGATTCACTCCCCAAGTGGCCACAATGGCCAGAGCCGAGCCAATCTGAAACCAGAAGCCTCTTCCGGGTCTCCCAAGAGGTGCAGGGTCCCAAGGCTTTGGGCCGTCCTCAGCTGCTTTCCCAGGCCACAAGCAGGGAGTTGGATGGGAAGTGGGATCACTAGGATTAGAATCAGTGCCCATCTGGGATTCTGCACATGCAAGGTGAGGACTTTAGCCACTAGGCTATTGCGTTGGGCCCCAGCCGCTCCAATTCTGATCCAGCCTCCTGTTAACGCACCTGGAAAGCACCAGGTGATGGCCCACATGGGTGGTCACAACAAAACACCTGGCCCAGCCCTGGCTGCTGGAATTTGGGAAGTGAATCACACACTGAGTCACCTCTCGGGAGTGCAGGGAGGGAGAGGCCTGGGCCGCTGGGCCCCAGGGTGCCCCTCTTCAGATCAAGCCCGGCCGAGTGTGCAGACATCCTGGGTCAAGATCAGGGAAACGCAAAGTGGGTGTCAGGGCTTTTGCTCAGCTACTAACAAACGCAAACCAGATCCACATGACACACCCTGGGCAGAACGGGGCGAACGGACGGAGTTCAAGGAAAGCCAACAAGGCAGAGGCGAGGGAAGGAAAGAACAGACGGACACGCTGTGAGACACTGACAATAAAGTTGGGGGCAGTCCATGTCACAGTGCCCAGGGTGGACATCGGCCTCCGATTTCCAGCTACTGTGAACTGGGCAGGCAGCAGTGAGGGCCCCGCTGCCCACATGAGGGACACAGCTGGAGGGACTGGACCCGCCCACAGCCCTAGACACCTGCAGAGTAATTCTTAAAAATCTCTAATGAAAGTAACAACTTAAAAATCCAAGTCCCCGAATCATGAACCAAAGGTTTTAGCACAAGGACCGGAAGCCCTAACCCTAACCCAGCTGAGGGAAGGCCCCAGCAGGGAGAAACAGGGATCAGAGGAACCTATGCGCACACATTTATGCTAAAAGGCAGGGTGAGGGCGAGAGTGAGAGAAAGAAACTGTCAGTTCGCTTCTGGAAGGCTGCAACAGCTGTGCCTGGGCTCAGGAGCCAGGAGCTCCAGCAGGGCCCCGTGTGGGTGCTGGGTCCCACACCCTTGGGCCATCATTGCTGCGTTCCCGGGAGCTCCAGCAGGGAGCCGGGAGGAAGCAGATCTGCCAGGACTCAAACCAGCACTGTGTGGATGTGACTGTGGGTGCTGACCTACTGCACCCTGACGCTGGCCCCAGGAATGACACTCTGAACTGCTAATAGGGAACGGCCAAGCTCCAACGAGGCCAACAAGCAGAAGCAGAAGTAGCTGAGTGCTGGACACAGGACCTCAGGGCCAAGGCGACATCTCCACAGGCAACTTTACCCACACGGCTAACTGTGGCAGCACCAAGCCCTTTTCCCTTCCTCTTACTTCCTCCTTGACAGGCGCGTGCGCAGTCCTGGACGCTGTACTCACGTGTCACTGGCACAAACACGGAAGCAGCTCATCAACAGCTCGGCCGCCTTCTCCAGCATGTCCCCCACTTTGCTCTTCCCCTTCTTCACCAACTGCTGATCGGCCTGGCAGACAGAGACATCTGTGAAGCGGAACCAGGATGCCAACAAGAAACCAGCAGTGCTTGATGGCTGAGGCGTCTACGCAGTCTGCTCTTCCTACAGCCCGCCCACTGCTCTGCAACGCCAATGGTCCCGGACCCCGCATCGCTCTCGGAACTCCGGGGTCTGGACCCCGCATCGCTCTCGGAACTCCGGAGTCTGGCTCCCGCACTGCTCTCGGAACTACCCCCAACGACTCACTCAGGCTCTAACCTTGCAATCTCCCACAGACACGTGGTCAAGGCCCTCCAGATGGGGGCCAGAATGCAGCTCTGCCTGCAGTCCACCTGGGAGGCAGCAGCAGGCCCTGCCACTCACACAGGAGAACCAGGAGCAGCTCTGGGCTTCTGGCTTCGGCCTGGCCCAGTCCCAGCTGCCGCAGCCGTCTCAGAAAAGAACCAGCAGAAGGGCACAGGCTCGCTCTGCAACACATGTCCCTCATGACACAGCTGACGTCGTACGAATTTGTGCGCTCTCCATGCTGAGATGTGTGGAACACAGGGCAGCTTGTGGCAGCAGCTGAGCAGCAAGCAGAACCTGCCTTTTTCTTTTAAGATCTATTTATTTTTATACAGAGAAAGGAGAGACAAAGGGAGGTGTTCCACCTGCTGGTTCACTCCTAGGAGCTTCCTCTGGGTCTCCCAAGTGAGTGCATAGACCCAACGATCTGAGCCATCCTCGGCTGCTTTCCCAGGCAGTCCACAGTGGCAGGCAGTTACAGCCAGGGGCTCCAGACCAGTGCTGCCAGGCCCAGTGCCCATCCCTGAGTTCGGGTTTTCTTTAACATAATGAAGCACACTGCTGCATGGATCAGTGGTCAGACCATCCCCCATTGGTGCCGAGTGCTACTCCAGGGTGACCCTGGGAGGTGGGCTAGAGCAGTGGACAGGGTGACCCTGGAGGTGGGCTAGAGCAGTGGACAGGGCCTGTGTGCACAGACCTCATGAGAGCAGTCAGTGCTCCTGTACCAGTGAGGACAGAGCAAGGGCATCAGCTGGAAACTAGGCAGCAGGGTCCTCACTGGACACGGACCCTTCCAGAAAGTCCTCACTGCGTGCTCACCCTGCCAGAACAGCCCTACTGGACACAGACCCTGCCACAAAGGCCTCACTGCGTGCTCACCCTGCCAGAACAGTCCTACTGGACACACCCTGCCACAAAGGCCTCACTGCGTGCTCACCCTGCCAGAACAGCCCTACTGGACGAGGACCCTGCCAGAACAGCCCTACTGGACGAGGACCCTGCCAGAACAGGCCTACTGGACACTGACCCTGCCAGCAGTTGACACTGCACCGAGCCCCTAGAAACGTGAGTGCCAGCCGCCTGTGGGTGGCCTGGATGGACTGGGACAAACATGATGACCCTGGAGAAGCACTCCCATAGCAGTGGGGGCCAGGTCAGCTGGCCTCCTAGCAATGGCGAACAACCTCAATGCTGCTTGTCTGAGCTACAGCCCGACTTTGAGAAAACCATGTCTTGGCTTTTTGCATGGTATTGAACAAGAACCACCTACAATGATGGAGACAGCTATTAAAGTAATCTCCCGTTCCCATCTCCTCACCTACTTCAGTGTGACAGCATCGTGGAATGTGGCTGTGCTCAGAGCCACGAGTCACTGATGGCTCTGCACAGCAGACGTAGGGACAGGTGTGTGGCCCGGCAGGCCCAGGCAGACCACCTGCATCTTCCTGGGAGCACCCCGTCCACATGGGAGCCCGCACATGGGAGGTCCCCATCCCAGGGAGCGTCGCTCTCCCTTTGTGTTTCTCACATGAATAAGCTCAGCTCTTGGGGCTCTCTGACCTGGGCAGGAAACCTGTCCAGTTGGACTCTGCTCAGAATCAGGAGTCACCCACACTTTCAGAACTGTGAGGTCACTGATCCAGAAGGTTGACAAGGTCAGCTGTTCGACAGCACGTCTAGAACACTCACGCCTGAGCGTACCTCAGCTGCGCCCAGAACCTGTGTGGGGCAGCACTGCCCAGCTGGGGCAAGGCACCGAGTCCCAGTCAGCTACGGCGCCTGTGCTGGCGCTCCCCCCGCAGACACACCCTAACCCCAGCAGATCCCAGCCCAGAGCACGGTCACGGGGAACGGAACTCACATTATTGGCAAACACTCGGAGGTCAAGTGCTACTGCATACATGACAGGCAGAGCCCTACGGAGAAAAAGAAAGGCATGAAGCAGTCCGGGTTCAGCCCACTGCCGCTCTACGGCTGCTGTCAGCTGGCTGCAGCCCTGAGCGTCCTACTCCCAGCCTCTGCCCGGACCCTGGCCTACCCACGGTCACTCAGAATACCCCTTCCTCTGCATTAAGCAAACACCTGTTCAAACAGCTGTGGTTTGATAGTTTCCTTTACAGAGCTTGCAGTGTGATACACACAATGAGACACAGCTGTTTACATCTAGCTCTCCAAGCCGGACTTCTCCTGGGCAAGCTAGTCTTTACTTATAAATGGAAAAGGCTCTCGCTTACTGCAGCATAAAACTCACTTAGTTTGTCTATAGATTATAAAACAGAGAATTAGTTTGGCAGGGAATTTAAAATGACCCAATGAGTGGGGATCAAATCATGCCAAATGAATTACAGCTGGTCTACTTCTTTTACAAAGTATTTTTTTTTTTAAAGCAGGGATGGCATCGTAGCACAGGCAGTTAAGCCGTCACCTGCAGTGCTGGCTTCCCGTTCAAGCGCCGGCCAGAGCCTGGATGCTCTGACTGAGCCAGATCCCTGTTGAAGCTGGGAAGTAAACCAGCGGCTGGGTTTCTCTTCGTGTACATGCAGAAGTGCTCAGCTGGAAATAACAGTTCACACTGGACAGGCACCATTCCATTTCCATCGACTGTTACAACTGATATTAAGCACTACATTAAATGTAAAATGTTTGTATTTATAGCAAATTTTAACAGCTTTGCAAAAAAGAGCTGCCCAGCTGCTGCTGCCGCTCACACTCACCAGTTTTCTTCCTTGTGGGCCTGAAACGCTCGCAGGAACGACGTGGGGCGTTAAGGAAGCTCAGCACGGGCGGTGAGGGCAGAGGGAGAAAGGCTGACCTCCCCTCAACCCTGACCTCACGGCACCCGCGTGCTAAACACATTTACTGCAGACCCTTCCGCCAAAGACTCACGGAAATTTTTCCTGTTTTTAAATCAGCGTTGTCAAACTGAGTGGTTGAGACAAGGTATGTTTGCATGCTGCAGTAGCTGCAGTCCAAGGTGAACTGTCAGTGGCAGAATTCTGGGGTTCCCACACTGAGCTCTCCTGGGTTTATGTAAACAAGACAGTCCTTCAAAAGCAAACTGAAGTCTACACGCTGCTTGGGGCCTCGACTATCACACAACATTTAGTGACTCAAGTAAGAAGCAGGCTGGATAAAGGCCTTCAGGGATCATAATGAAGAAACCACGCGTGTCTGTTTTGTCCATGCATGCTGCACGGCAGACGTGTGACTTCATCAGCTGCTGTGGCTATGCTTAACGCTGAGAGACAACCAAACACACATGCCACCCCTCCTGCTGCCCAACACAACCAGAGAAGCTCAGCCAGCAAGACTGCAACACCCGAGCAGTGGACACCTCAGCAGCTAAGTAACCATGACTCCCTGCCTCTGAAGAGCTAGAAACTCCTCTTAACCCCCACAGATGAACAACAGCCGCCACAGTCTGTCCTGCTGCAGCCATCACGGACACCAAGGATATTGGACGATCACAGTCTGGCATTTGTAGGCCTCTATGAAGTCATGGTTTCCCACAGCATAAGTGCACCTGCAAAGGAAGCAGCCAATGCCAAGAACGGCCATGTCAGAAAGTATATCTGCACAGAGGGGACGCGGCAGGGCCCTCCACCCCGTCAGCAGCTGGCAAGGCTCCCAGGAGCCCAGTCCTCTGGCCTGCCCCCCACAGGAGGCGTTCAGAGCTCACGTGGCCGTAAGACACAAGGCTGAGCTGGAGACAGAGAGCAGGTGCCAAGTGTCAATGAAAGGTGTGCTGTGCACTTGCTGCTGCATATTTCCATGAGAAGGTCAGCCCATGGCTATGCTCTCCAATCACGACGGAAGTGCTGCTGGAGCACAGCAAGAACATCAACCCGGCACGGGACTGGACGAGGCTGTGCTACTTTCCAAGTGCATCACCCCAGCTTCAAGCCTGAGACAATGCACGATGCATTGCCCAACTTGGCCTCTGGCTCATCTGCTCTCTGCCCCTACCAACAGATTACCTGAGGTGAGCTGCAAACATTTCATCATACGGGGGCTCCAAGACTTGCTGACACTTCTCCTCTGGAGAAGCCATCTGATTGGAAACAAGAAGGCAAGGACGACATTAACAGACCTGGAAGGGTACGACACACGACTGACAAACCTCCTCAAAGTGACAGTTCACATTTTAGTAAAGTTCATCCAAGCACTATTTGCCAATATTTCTTTTCTTTATAGATCTATTTATTTACTTGAACAACAGAGTCACAAAGAAGCAGCAGAGAAAGAGGTCTTCAGTCGTGAAGTGCCTCGCAGAGCGACGGTGTGGCTTTTCTCCTGGGAGACAGGCTCCCCATGGGCCCCAACTCTCGCTTACCTGCAGCCGGGGGTTTGCGACGTGCGGGTGCTTGAAGGAGACCAGCTCTGCACAGGACGCCCCATCCCGAGTGTCGATCGCCTCGCACACCTGCAGCAAGCGGGGGAGAGACCAAGCTGTCTCCAGGGCAGGGCAGCACTCTGCCCACACCAGCCCCTTCGCCCGAGGGGTTCCCTAAGACCCCGACACCCAACGCTCTGCCTGGCCCCAGACCTGCGCTCCCCGCCTGCGGTGCCTCAGCACGATCCGCCACAACTCCCTCAGCCAGCTCGTCCACACGGCAGGCCCCAGAGACCCGGAGGGCGCTCTGCTCCGTGCCGCCCGCGGGATGCAGCGGACAGGCCCGGCCGGGGGACGCGGGGAGCCAGTCGGCAGGGAGGCGGGCCTGCGCGCCGGCTCACGCCCCGCACACGAAGACGCGCGGCCGCCACGGGCTGCGCCGGTGCCCACCTCACCCGGCCGGAGTCCGCCCTGGGCGCCCGGCGGCACCCACCTGCTGCAGGTACTGGTTGATCGTGATGTGCGCCATGGCCCCGCCGCCCCGAGCCGGGCCGCGCGTCACTTCCGCCCGCAGGTCCGTCCGCCAGCAGGCGCCCCCGACGCCGCCGGCCCGGCACGCGGGTTCCGGCCCTCGGCGCCGCGCTGGCCCGGGCCGCCGGGCGAGGCGGGCGGCGGGCTGTGGCGCCGCTCGCGGGCTCCGGCCCTCGGCGGTCTTCGAGAACGGCAGGCGCCTCGGCCCCGTCCCGGCTCGCGGCCGCCGCGCGGCCCGCCCTCGGCCCCCGGGCTCCAAGATGGCGGGCGGCCTCGCGCCCTCGCCTCGGCGCCCGGCCGGGCGGAGGGGCCCGCGCGCGCCCGCGGCCGTGAGCGCCGCGCGCCGCCCTGCCGGCCGCCCCGCCGCGCGCCCGCGAAGGCCGCCCCGCCGCGCGCGCCCCGGCCTGTGAGCGCCGCGTCCCGCGCCCGGCGGCGGCGGCGGCGGCGGCGGCGGCGGCGGCGGCGGCGGCGGCGGGAGGGGCGGGCCGGGCCGGCGGCGGTTGGGCTCCGGGGCGCGGGCGGGGCGGGGCGGGGCGGCCTCGGCGCAGGCCCGGACGGAGCGTCGGCAGCCGGAGCCGGGGCGGCCTGGGCCGGAGCCGGGCGCACGGAGGCGGCGCGGCGTGGCCGGGGCGGCTCGGGTCGGCGTCCGGCCGCGGCCATGGCGGACGAGGCCCCGCGCAAGGCCGGCGTCTCGGCCCTCGTGGGCCGCACCAACGGCCTCACCAAGCCCGCGGGCCTGGCCAAGCCGGGCGGCGCGGGCGGCTCCAGGAAGCTGGTCATCAAGAATTTCCGAGGTGCGGCCTGGCGGGCGCGGGAGGGCGGCGGGGGGCCCCGGCGCGGGCGCGGCCCGGGCCGCGCGCCTGACCCTGTGCTCTCCACAGACAGGCCGCAGCTGCCGGACAACTACACGCAGGACACGTGGCGCCAGCTGCACGAGGCCGTGCGGGCCATCCAGAGCAGCACGTCCATCCGCTACAACCTGGAGGAGCTGTACCAGGTGAGCGCCCGCGGCCCGCGCCCCGCGGCACGGCCTCGGCCCCGTGCCTTGTCGTGACTGAGTCCTCGGTTACTTGACCCTGCACGGATCTGTTAGAAGGCCCGAGCCGGGAAAACTGTCTCTTTTCCTCAAGGCAGGAGAGCCCAGACAGCCCCCCAGGCTGAGTGAAGCACCTGCAGGAGTGAGGGCAGCGCCCGCATCCAGCATCCCCCGAGCGGAAACGGCACCCGATGAGGTGTGAGGCCCGAGTGGAAAATTTCCCCTTGAGCCCGGCAGGGAAGTCCCAGGCGGGCCGCAGGTGCACGCGTGTGGGGGATGTGAAACCAGCCCCTGCCGGTTTTGTTGTGGGGTAGCTGCCCCAGACATCACCTAGTGTTGTGTGTGTGTGTGTAAGCTCTTCCTGTCAGCATGTGTGTGTGAGTGCTTGTGTGTGAAAGTTGGAGCACTAATGTCTGTGTGTGTGTGAGTTCCTGTGTGAGAAAGCTGGAGCGCTGTTGTGTGTGTGTGTGTGTGTGTGTGAGTGCATGTGTGTGAAAGTTGGAGCACTGCTGTCTTTGTGTGTGTGTGTGTCAGTGTGTGTGTGAGTTCCTGTGTGAGAAAGCTGGAGCGCTGCTGTGTGTGTGTGTGAGTGCATGTGTGTGAAAGTCGGAGCACTGCTGTCTTTGTGTCTGTGTGTGTGTGTGTGTGTGTGTGTCAGTGTGTGTGTGAGTTCCTGTGTGAGAAAGCTGGAGCGCTGCTGTGTGTGTGTGTGTGTGTGAGTGCATGTGTGTGAAAGTCGGAGCACTGCTGTCTTTGTGTCTGTGTGTGTGTGTCAGTGTGTGTGTGAGTTCCTGTGTGAGAAAGCTGGAGCTTTGCTGTCTGTGTGTCTGTGTGTGTGTGTGAGTGCATGTGTGTGAAAGTCGGAGCACTGCTGTCTTTGTGTGTGTGTGTGTGTGTGTCAGTGTGTGTGAGTTCCTGTGTGAGAAAGCTGGAGCGCTGCTGTGTGTGTGTGTGTGTGTGTGAGTGCATGTGTGTGAAAGTTGGAGCACTGCTGTCTTTGTGTCTGTGTGTGTATGTGTGTGCGTGTGTGTGTGTGTCAGTGTGTGTGAGTTCCTGTGTGAGAAAGCTGGAGCGTTGCTGTCTGTGTGTGTGTGTGTGAGTGCATGTGTGTGAAAGTTGGAGCACTGCTGTCTTTGTGTGTGTGTGTGTGTGTGTATATCAGTGTGTGTGTGAGTTCCTGTGTGAGGAAGCTGGAGCGCTGCTGTGTGTGTGTGTGAGTGCATGTGTGTGAAAGTCGGAGCACTGCTGTCTTTGTGTCTGTGTGTGTGTGTGTGTGTCAGTGTGTGTGTGAGTTCCTGTGTGAGAAAGCTGGAGCGCTGCTGTGTGTGTGTGTGTGTGTGTGTGTGTGTGTGAGTGCATGTGTGTGAAAGTCGGAGCACTGCTGTCTTTGTGTGTGTGTGTGTGTGTGTCAGTGTGTGTGAGTTCCTGTGTGAGAAAGCTGGAGCGCTGCTGTGTGTGTGTGTGTGTGTGAGTGCATGTGTGTGAAAGTTGGAGCACTGCTGTCTTTGTGTGTGTGTGTGTGTGTATATCAGTGTGTGTGTGAGTTCCTGTGTGAGGAAGCTGGAGCGCTGCTGTGTGTGTGTGTGAGTGCATGTGTGTGAAAGTCGGAGCACTGCTGTCTTTGTGTCTGTGTGTGTGTGTGTGTGTCAGTGTGTGTGTGAGTTCCTGTGTGAGAAAGCTGGAGCGCTGCTGTGTGTGTGTGTGTGTGTGTGTGTGTGAGTGCATGTGTGTGAAAGTCGGAGCACTGCTGTCTTTGTGTGTGTGTGTGTGTGTGTCAGTGTGTGTGAGTTCCTGTGTGAGAAAGCTGGAGCGCTGCTGTGTGTGTGTGTGTGTGTGTGTGAGTGCATGTGTGTGAAAGTTGGAGCACTGCTGTCTTTGTGTCTGTGTGTGTATGTGTGTGCGTGTGTGTGTCAGTGTGTGTGAGTTCCTGTGTGAGAAAGCTGGAGCGTTGCTGTCTGTGTGTGTGTGTGTGAATGCATGTGTGTGAAAGTTGGAGCACTGCTGTCTTTGTGTGTGTGTGTGTGTGTATATCAGTGTGTGTGTGAGTTCCTGTGTGAGGAAGCTGGAGCGCTGCTGTCAGTGTGTCTGTGTGTGTGAGTGCATGTGTGTGAAAGTTGGAGCACTGCTGTCTTTGTGTCTGTGTGTGTATGTGTGTGCGTGTGTGTGTGTCAGTGTGTGTGAGTTCCTGTGTGAGAAAGCTGGAGCGTTGCTGTCTGTGTGTGTGTGTGTGAGTGCATGTGTGTGAAAGTTGGAGCACTGCTGTCTTTGTGTGTGTGTGTGTGTGTATATCAGTGTGTGTGTGAGTTCCTGTGTGAGAAAGCCTGAGCATTGCTGTCAGTGTGTGTGTGTGAGTACATGTGTGAGAAAGCCTGAGCACTGCTGTCAGTGTGTGTGTCAGTGTGAGTACATGTGTGAGAAAGCCTGAGCATTGCTGTCAGTGTGTGTGTGAGTACATGTGTGAAAGCCTGAGCACTGCTGTCAGTGTGTGTGTGTGAGTACATGTGAGTGAAAGCCTAAGCACTGCTGTCAGTGTGTGTGTGTATGTCAGTGTGAGAGCATGTGTGAAAGCCTGAGCATTGCTGTCAGTGTGTGTGTCGGTGTGAGTACATGTGTGAAAGCCTGAGCACTGCTGTCAGTGTGTGTGTGTGAGTACATGTGTGAGAAAGCCTGAGCACTGCTGTCAGTGTGTGTGTGTGAGTACATGTGTGAGAAAGCCTGAGCATTGCTGTCAGTGTGTGTGTCGGTGTGAGTACATGTGTGAGAAAGCCTGAGCATTGCTGTCAGTGTGTGTGTCGGTGTGAGTACATGTGTGAGAAAGCCTGAGCATTGCTGTCAGTGTGTGTGTCAGTGTGAGTACATGTGTGAAAGCCTGAGCACTGCTCTCAGTGTGCCTCTCGGGGCCTGGGTGAGCATGGACGGTCGGCTGTGGTTTTCATCTCTACACGCATAGTGTGTGTATAGGGCTCACCTCAACAAACTTTCCCCAGTGTGTGCAGTGAGGCTTCTGAGACCACTTTGTCATGTGCCCCAGAGTTTGCCCTTTCTAGAATTTCACACAAATGGAATCATGCGTTTTGCACATCTGATTTTTGGGTTTTTTAGTGTGTGTGTGTGCGCGCACGCGCGCGTGCTAAGGACAGGAAAAAAACTTCCTTGTTTTATTTGAAAGGGAGGAGAGGGACAGAGGAAGAGATCTTCCATGTGCTGGTTCACTCCCCAAAGGCCACAACTCCGAGGGCTGGGCCAGGCGAAAGCCAGGAGCCAGGATTCCCACGTAGGTAGCAAGAACCCACTCCTTGAAGTGTCCTGTGCTTCCTTCCTGGGTGCACGTTAGCCAGAAGCTGAAATTCCTTTTTTTTTTTTTTTAAGATTTATTTATTTTTATTGGAAACTCAGATATACAGAGAAGAGGAGAGACAAGGAGGAAGATCTTCTGTCCGATGATTCACTCCCCAAGTGAGCACAACAGCTGGCGTTGTGCTGATTCGAAGCCAGGAGCCAGGAACTTCCTCCGGGTCTCCCACGGGAGTGCAAGGTCCCAAGGCTTTGGGCCGTCCTCCACTGCTTTCCCAGGCCACAAGCAGGGAGCTGGATGGGAAGTGAAGCTGCTGGGATTAGAATCAGTGCCCATATGGGATCCCAGTGCGTTCAGGGCAAGGACTTTAGCTGCTAGGCTATGGCGCCGGGCCCCAGAAGCTGAAATTCTAAGTGGAGCCCAAGCTCAGACCCAAGATTCTGGTATGGAATTGGAGCTCACAGGTCACAAGTTCTCCGTAGCACCAGGTGCACACTCCAGGAGGTTGATTTGGAAACTCATGACACTGTGTCACAGTATCTCCTCTCTTCCTCCTGTCTTCCTCTCTCTTCCCCTCTCCTCTCCACATTTGCAGAGTTATTTGAAAGGTAGACCCATAGATAGGGAGAAACAGAAAGAGACCTTGGCACTGCTGGTTCATTCCTCAGAGAGTTGGGCTGGGCCAGAGCCGAGACCATGGAGCTGCACGCAGGTCTCCCGTGGGTGGCAAAGGCCCAAGTGCTTGGGCGTCTTCCGCTGCTTTCCCAGGCATGCTCTTAGCAGGGAGCTGGGTCAGAAGTGAAGCAGCTGGGACTCCAGCCACTGGGCCAGCAGTTTGTTTCTTTGTGTTATTGCCCCGTGTGGGTGTACTGATTGTCTTGTCCAGTCACCAGCTCATGGGCATTTGGGCTGTGAATGAAGTTGTTACAAAGGTTAGTAAGTCTTTATGTAAACATAGTCTCCTTCCTGGGTTTGTGTGGAAAAGTGCACGTTTAACTTTACAAAAACTTGCCTGCTTTTCCAAGTGGCAGCTCCGTTTCTGCTAGCAGTGTGTGAGTTCTTTGTAGCATTGGCTGGTCTTGCTGATTTCTGCTGCTCTAAGTGTGTGGGGGGATCTCTCTGTGGCTTTAATTTGCATTTCCCTAGCAACGCTAAGTGTCTGTGTTCAATTGCTGTTGGAATTTTCTCAATGAAGTGTCTATTTAGATCTTTGACCTGTTTCTTACTGAGTTTATTTTCTGTTATTGAGTGTGTAACCTTATTACAGATTTTGAGTGAGTGTTTTTTTTCAGGAATTGGTCTGCAGTGATTTTGCCCAGTCTGTGGCTTGTAGTTTGATTATCTTAAGTATGATCTTTGAAGAGCAGTGGCTTAAGTTTTGAAATCAGGTGGGTCAGGTTTTCTTTTCTGGATGAAATGTCACAAACATTTCTTCTCTATGCCTTCTAGACATGTGAGAGTCTAGGTTTCCATTCCAGGCCGTGGTCTTTGTTGAGTGAGTTTGGATGTGCTTTGTGAAGTGGAAGTACAAATGCCACGTTTTCCTTCTAAGTGTCCAGTTCTTGCTACTTCTGAGTGCCTGTTCCGTAGTCTCTGTCCGCTGTCCAGCGAGGAGAAGGTGTTAATCATGGAACTGGCGGATTGGCCCTCCAGTGGGGCCCTGGTCCCATTTGTTTTTCCTGTTGTGGGTTCTTTGTATTTCTGCGTTAATCTGTTAATTTCTACAAGAAAGCCTGCTATGGTTTTTATCATGCCTTTGTGGAATCTGGATCCGTATGAGAGAATTGATATCCTGGCACTGTGATGTCCACTGAGCAGTCCCAGGGGGTAGCTCTCATTTCTCTTAGCAGTATGCTTTCTGTGTCATTTGTCTTCAGGCATCTCGTGGTTTTGAAGGTGTTTTGTACATTGATCTGGACCATGTTGCTGATCTCAACTTATTTCTAGACTTTTTAGAGATTTATGTGTTTGCTAGGCAGTGTTACGGAGAGGAGAGGGGTCATCCATCTCTGGTTCACTCCCCAAAAGGCTCCGACAGGCAGGAGCTGGGAGCTTCATGCAGGTCTCTATGTGATGCAGGGGCCCAAGGCTTTACGCCATCCTCTGCTGCTTTGCCATGCCATCAGCAGGGAGCTGGGTGGGAAGGGAGCAGCCGGGACTTGAAGTGGCACCTAAACAGGGTATTTACATTGCAGGTAGGAGCTTTACGCACTATACCACAAGGAGTTGGCCCCTTCTAGTCCTGGTTGGCTGAGGGTTTTTATAAGAAATACAACTTGTCAGATTCTTTCCCCACACCTGTTGAGGTTATAATATTTTTGTTTTAGTTCAAGAATTGTGTTGGTGTCCAAGTGTTAAAGCGGTCTTGCTTCCCTGAGCAGGTGCCCGAGAGCCTGATGCCTTGTCTGTTTACGGGTTGCAGACTTGCTGCTTGTGCATCAGTGACCCTGAATGTTATCAGTGTGCTGTTTGCTCATTATTTGGATCTGGTTTTTAGATCAAAATCCTGCTGACTCCATGAGTTGCAAAATACTCCCTCTTCATTTTCTGGAAAGGTATCCTCGCTCCCTTCAGAGTAGGAGAGAATTCTACTGTGAAGCCATCATGGGACATTCAGACAGGACTTTGTGAGTGCCACAGGGTGTGCAGGCACTCCTGCTGCCAGTGCTGTGTCTCTGCGTCCATCGCTCAGCCCAATGACTGCTCAGCTGGTCTTGTCTGTTGTGTGTCATACCTCCGATGTGGCTTGAATCAGACAGGTTTTTCTCAAAGGTTTTATTTCACTGCTCTGTGTGTCTGGTCATCTTTTTGGGTGAGTGTCAGATGGGAATGTTGACTTCTGTGTGCTGGATGTTTTTGTGTTCTTGCATTGTCTTTGCCCTGGAACGGGGCCCTTTGAGAGTTGTTGGATGGGTCTGGTGGGTGGGGCCAGAGTAGCATGCTGTTTAGGACCCTTGTGGCGGGACCTGCCTGAATCTGCTCTAGTGAAAAGATACGGTTCAGGTGTGAGAGTCACACTGTTTTCTTGAAGCCTTCTGGACGGTTCTTTCCCTGGCTGTGGCATATCCCTCTTGCCACGTGCTGGTCACTCTGCTGAGAGCACGAGGGCTGCCCAAGGCTCCACCCACCTCCAGGTCTCCCTGGCTGCAGACTCTCCTGGGCCCTAGCCCTGCCTCCTGGAGGCCCCATGCACAAAGCCACCCATGACTGCCTGTTCCCTCTCAGCATTCCAACCGTTCACAACCCTGCTCCTGGGTCACTTCAGTTGCAGGAGTCCCACCAAGTACCTGAACAATTTCATGGAATACTGTGTCTTAACAGCTAAGGGTTGTGTTGTATATGCATTTACATAATTGAAAGAGTTACAGAGAGCGAAGAGAGAGATCTTCAGCCATTGGTTTGTTTCCCAGGTGGCCACAATAGCCAGAGCTGAGCCAGACCGAACTTTAGAGTCAAAACTGTCTTCCAGATTTCCTATGTGGGTGGCAGAGTCCCAAACACATGGACCCTTTTCCTCTGCTTTCCCAGGCCATCAGCAGGAGGCTGGATTGCAAATGGGGCAACCAGGACATGAACCAGTACCCATATGGGATGCCAGCATCACAAGCAATAGCTTTACTTGCTGTATTATAGTGCCAGACACCAGTATGGGGTGAGAAGTGGATGGCCACTGGGCAGGACAGGACAGGTGGCCCTGTGTGGCTGCAGGAGCCTGGTAAAAATACCCTGAGAGGTGTCGTGCTGTGTCTCAGTGTGTCCTGGAGGGCTCTGTCAGTTACAGTGCCCTGCTGGGTGTTAACAGTTGGTGAGAGGGAGATGCAGGGGCTCCGCACACCCCATAGCGCAGCTCTGAGAGGAAGCACACGTGTCAGGACCACCCGTGAGGCAGGAGGGCAGAGAGAATGGCAGTCCCTTAGCACCCAGCAGGCTGTCCTCGGCGACTGAGAAACTATGGCACCTGCTCACAACACAGGGAGAGGATGGAGGAGAACCGAGTGCTGACCAGGTAGAAGAAGTATTTGGTAGCACCAGTTGGCAAAAGTAGCAAACTGATCAAGTGAATACACAAGTTCCTCTTACACGGGACAATGTCCACAAGGAGCAGGTGGCTCCCCTGACTGAGGTTATTGCTAGCCTGCCTTCGCACTGGCAGCCAGCTGGAGGTCAGGCGTGTGAAATGCTCCCACAGATCCAGGTCGCTTGCCGGCCGGAAGCTGAGGGCAGAAGTGGAGGTGTGTGCTGGGGCAGAGCGGGCTACGGGAGGACACTTCTGAATGCTGTGTTTCTCATGCTGCTTATGTGTGTCTGTGTGTGAGACAGACACAGAGGTCACTGCCCAGATTCCCAGCAGCCAGGACAGGCCACAGCTACCCTGGGAGCTAGAACTCAGTCTGAGTCTCCCACGGGTGTGTCAGGGACCTGGGAGTTGGCTCATCCCATCTCCTAGGTTGCCCATCAGCAGGCATCAAGAATAGGAGTAGAGTTGGACCACAGGTGTCCCAACCTGGCATCTTAGACACTGGGCCCACCACCTGCCCCTGTTCTCAGTCACACTGGTGTGTGTGTGTGTGTGTGTGTGTGTGGTTTTCCTGGGCTTTGGGAAGCAGGTGGGGTTAGCCAGCCATCCTTTCTCCCTGTTGGTCTGTGGAGGTGACTCCTAAGGGCAGTCTCTGTCCTTGTCCCCAGAAAGCATCGTGTGAAGCAGCAGTGTGCGCCCGGGGGTGAGGACGGGGTACTATAAATAGATCCCCACGTGGGGAAGTTCCCAGTGCAGACACAGGCGTCTCTAGAGCGCAGGTGCCTCGGGTGCAGGAGTGAGGTGCTGGGGAGGCCTGGGTAGACCCTTCTAGTCACCAGCTTCTGCCCACCTTTCTGAGGTTTCTCTAGCATGGTATTGGCCATAGCCGACCAGCGTGAGGCTTACTTACTCATCTTGTTAGGTGCTTTATGTATCTAGAACGTATTTCTAAGTATCAATAGGCTAAGACCCCCAAAACATGGTGAATGGGCTGCCTTGGGGGCCAACACCTATGCTGGGAGAGGTAAGTGGCACACCAGTGCTACCCCAGGTGTGGCAGCTTCCTTGGAGAGGGACTCGATTCTGGCTTCAAGGTGAAGTAGTTCTCAGTGCTCCGTGTGGCTCTTAGGCGTGTGCCTGGCTCCTGCTTGGGTGGACAGCTTGCAGGAAAAGGCCCTGCCATCCTGGGAGGCACTTCTTGGCCGCCCTCAGGGATTTCACACAACTGTGTTTGTGAGCTAGTATGTTGGTGCTTCCAGAGCAGGGGTGAGGGGGCTTTCACTGCATTGTGGTGCATGGGAGAGGAGGCAGGGGATCAGTTTTAGAAGGAGCTGAATAAAGTTGTCGTGTGGGTGTTAGGAGCCTCATGTCTGTGACCTGGCAGCTGGGGGAAGGTTGTCCCCTTTTCACACGGAGGCTTTGCTAGCAAGCAGGGTGTATGGTCATTACTGCCTCTGCACATTCCCTTTGGTCCTTGTAAGTATGGGTGTGTGCTCCCCAGTTATATGAACCGTATTTAATTAACTCACATTGATTCCTTGATCTCCCAGCATTAAATATTAGTTGCTGAGATAAGTATTGCTATCATGAATGTCTTTATAATATGACTTTATCTTCTTTCCTGTAGGATTATCAAATTTGGATTAAATTCCAATTGTTTGAAATGATTCCACTCTGCATATCCACACTTTGCAGTTATTCAGAGCTAGCTAGTGGGAAGGCTGTTCAGTGTGGTTTTATCCGTGAGGTTTTATTGGATTTGACTTTGCACAGGAAATGGGATTAAAACTGATGTAGAGGCATAGTTAGGTACACTGTACTTGCAGCTTCAGACCGACAGGGAACCACTCAACCCAGTGTGTCCCTGGCACCTGCTGATCCCACAGCTCGCCGTGGGCAGAGGCCTGTGCTAGGGGAAGCTTGGGAAGCTGGCGAATGGAGCCACGTGGCCCCCACGGCCAACTGTAATGACGTGCTGCTGACTCTGAGTAATGAGTTCCTTGTGTTGCAGGCCGTCGAGAATCTCTGCTCGCACAAAGTGTCCGCGATGCTGTACCAGCAGCTGCGCCAGGTCTGTGAGGACCACGTGCAAGCGCAGATCCTGCACTTGCGAGAATATCCTTTTATGGGCACCTGACCCTGGTAAAGCTGGGCATTGACAGGCTCGAGGAGTGACGGGTATCCTTCATGTGGCGACAGTAGATTCCTGCGTCCTGTCATGGACAGAGCAAGCTTACCTTGATTTGCCTCAGTGACTGCTGCTCTTAGTTCCAAGGGAGCCATGTGTTCCTGCACAGACTGGCCAGCCCCCCAGCTGTCTGTCAGAGGTTGGGCCTGGCTGTGCTGCCTTGGCCCAGTACTGCTCCGGGGCTTCACTGACTGAGAGAACCGTGTGGTCCCACTGAGACAGGCTGCTGCAATCGAGGGGAGGGATCATGTAGCGTGCAGATGTGGGCGGACACAGGGTGCTGCAGAATCTCTGGTCCACCACCCTCATGTAGTCCTTTGCAAGGAGTCTCGGGCTCCTCGCCATCCTCTGGAAAATCTTTAACTCTAGCTTCGTCTCCTTTCCAGCCTTCTGCCAATACTAAAGCCATGGGTGTGTCCAGGTACAGGCAGGAGAAAGTGGGAAATGAGGCTGCTTGTTTGCAACATTACTTGGTGTTGGAGGACTCCCCGCCAGCCCCCCAGCCCCACCCCAATATGTGCATCGGTGCGATGTGGAGCCGCAGCCACCACAGTGTCTTGATGGTCCAGGAGAGCTGTCGGCTCCAGTTCTGACATGGCCAGGTGCCTCGTTGATATTTTCTGGCACAGATTCATGGTAGAGGTGGCAACACTGCCCGAGAGCTGAGAGCCAGTATGTGCCCTTCTGGAATCTGGTCAGAGTACACCCTCTCTGAGGAGGTACCTGTGAGGGCAGAGAGCGGCCTCCACGCTGCAGGCAGAAGCTCAAGGATCCCTGTGGGCTGGCCAGGGGTCCTAGTTTACATAAAGCTGTTGTTTGGTCGCTTGGTGGGATTACCCTCGTCAGCTCATCCCTCCCCCTGTGATTGACTGGCATGTTCAGTGAGGCACTAAGGTAGAAAAGGATTGTCCCGGCTGATTTCTGCCCTCCCAGAAGGCACAGCCAAGGGCAAGGCAGGGGCTCATGTGGTGTCTCCCGTGGAAGGATGGGAGGAAACAGCCTGTCCTGTGAGCTTGCTTGTGAGTGCTGGAAGCCAAGCCCCACCCTGCTGTCACCGGGAGGACCGTGGGCAGTGCGGCCATGGAGGAGTCAAGCCTGGGTCTGTGGCACCTTACAGTCCTCGGTGTTTTTAGGAAGATTCCAGTAGAGCTAGTGGTTTTGTAAGGGTCACCTTTGTGTTGTCCACAGTCCCAGCAGAATGGAGTTGTACCTTGAGCGGAAATGAGGGAAGCACAAGGATACACATGCTCCCAGTATCCCAAAGGTACCCTGTGGCGGTCAGTCTGCCGGGGCAGTGCATGCCCAGGAGACCGACAGCTGGGAAGGGAGAAGCTGCCCCAGCTGAGGGCATGGGGTACCTTGGCAGTGGACATGTTTGGCTCTGTTGGGGATCCCTGGAGAGAAGGGGCTATGGGCAGCAGATGTGTGGCCTGGGAAGAGGGTGAGCCTATTCATTTGCTTTGCTACAGGGTCTGGGTCGGTGAGTATTCACTGGGCCGCTGACCTGCCTGCTCTGTGTCCTCAGTGCCCAGCTGTGGCTCAGACCTGGAAAGATTGGGCAGCAGGGTCTGCTCTAAGATGGCCCAGAAGGACAGAGTGCCATCCTGGGGAGCCAGGCGAAGGAGTTTGAGATGGGTTAGGGTTAGCAGAGACCTAGAGACCTCCCAGGAGGGAAGCAGTCTGGGGCCAGTGGCAGTGCTGCTGCCACGAGGGCTTGTTCAGTTGGGGAAGAGGGGTCCTTGCCAGTCCTTGTGGATATCACACACCTTGTGGCCAGGGATGCTCTGATCCTATGTTAACTACAGCAGTTGTGCCTGCTGTGTTCAGATGCCAAGCTTAGGGACGTCCTGGCACACACTGGAAAGAGGCCCAGGGCGGCAGCCTGTGGAGCAGTTAGCTTCCTCTGCATTGCATCCACCTCACGTCTGCACAGTCACCGCGCACACATGTTTGGTCACATCTGTATGCGGCCACAGCACATGTGTGTGTGCTCCTGTCTGCACACATTCACGGTGTACGTGTGTGCTTACATGTTGAAGCAAAACAGGCTGCAGCACTCTGTGGGCCAGAATGCCGGAGCACCTGTCCTTGGAGTCTAACCTTGCAAATACTGACAAAACTCACTCCTGAGGGATGGGCTCAGCCAGCCCAGGAGGGCTCGGGGGCATTACACACTCAGAGCAGCCGTGTGTCAGAGCCGGCTGAGAGGGGCGGAAACATTGCAGATGCTGTTGGGAAAGTGGAGGAGCTCCGTTTTGCCTTGGTATATGTTTGCCACGTGCGGCTTGCAGTCCAAGGGCCTACAAACAGGTAGCCACACTGTGCGTCATCCTGCATCAGTTTATTTCTCACAGGCTTTGTCAGCTGTAATTTATAGATGAACCAGCAGAGGCATCACACGTACGTGGCCTATATGTACATGGCATCACAAGTACGTGGCCTGTACATACATGGGATCACACGTACGTGGCCTGTACGTGGTCCTGTGCTGGAGCTGGGGTCATGGCATCTTGGCCTCTGTGTTGTTCATAGCAGCGAGGGGGACAGCCAGTGCAGGCACACCTTGAGGAATGCTTTGAGAAAGGCCTGCATAGTGGTCATGGCCAGGGGAGCTGTCCACAGGCCACCATGCTTGCTGCTCGGGATCGTAGGTGCTCTGAGCTCTCTGGTCAGACAGCCTGCCCGGTACTCTGAGTTGGCGCTGGCTGCAGGGCAGATGAATCCATGGTGCAGCCACCCTGGCCTCTGCACAAGGCCGTATGAGTTTACCAGGGCCCCTAGATAAGCAGGCCCTGTGGCCTCACGCCAGGCTGAGCTTGGCTGTGGCTTTGGGTGACACTTGAGCCGCCCAAGGGTGTTGGATCTGCTGTGTGATTTAGTTCTGTGGGGCTCATATTGTCACCTGCATGCTTACGCACAACTGGTTGGTGTTTGTCCAACATCATGTGGCTCCCGGCGCAATGACTGGAATGCTGAGCAGGTCTGCTAACTGTTCCTCCAGCTGACTTGTTAGCCATGTACTGTGACCACCTCTGTAAATGACAGCGTGCTCTCAAGGCTCCCATACAAGGAGACCTGAGGTGACGGCCTCCAGAGCGGTGGTCAGCGGCTCCTCCAACTGCTGTGCTGCACACTGACCCCTGGTGCCTGCCCTGCTCTCCACGTCCCCATGGGACTCCTCGTTGCCCGCTAGTTATCAGCTTTGACAGGTGTTCTCTGCTAAGATAGGCCCAGCCAGTGTCAGATGCTGCTGCAGGTGGACCTGGGCTGTGCCAGGAACCCATTGTTTTTTCCTTGTGTGCATCATGAGGTGGGGAAGATGACATGGTAGTGTCTCCCTGTTACTTCTGGCTGTGCTAAGTGAAGGAGGGTAGGTTCACATTGGGTCCACTGAGGTTAGGAGGACCCCCGCTGCTGTGAGTAGGTTGTCCAGCCACCAGGCCCGGGCACCTGTATCATGAGTGGTCACTGGACACTGCTCTCAGAGAGCTGGGTCCTCCGTCCAGCCACCAGCCCTGGGCTCCTTTATCCTGCTGGTTCGGTGGGAGATGAGAGACAGTTGCAGCTACAACACACAGGGTCAGGCAAGCAGGGAACGGGACATGGAGGGGGACACTGTTGGTGATGTTGACCCTGTGGTGGCAAGGGACCACAGTCCCAGAGGCTGCAGGTGCGGGGAGCATCAGCAGGGCTCCTGTTGTGTCTGAGGGGCAGTGGTCTCTGAGGGCATGACCCTCCACGTCCCACTTGCCTGCAGCTCTCTGGCCCATGTGCTGAGCCATGCGTGACGATCTGTGGGCGGGGGCTGATACTAGGAGTTACCAACACACGTGACGCTCTGCGGGCGGGTGCTTACACTAGGAGTTACCGACATGTGTGAAGTTTTCCTTAGCAGGCGTGCACAGACTCACTAGATAGCGTTTTATTTTTAAAGAAGATGAACACGTGCTGGCAAGATCACTGCAGACAGATGGTAAGATGCCCTGGGACCTGGCCAGCTCCACCCTTTCTTGGGTTAGCCCGCAGGAAGGCGCCTGGGCAGCTGCCATCTTGCCTCTTCTGACAGTACAGCCTCACTCTTCTGCCCTCCCGACCTGAGGGGGGCTGTGCTTGCCGGTCTGGGCTGGCTTGCTGGTGGAAAGAGAGCTGGGCCTTCTAGGGGCTGTGAGTTCACATGCCCAGGGTCCTAGGGGCTGTGAATTCTCCCCAAATGGACAGCCAGGTCTCAGCTTCTTCAGCTGACTGGCGGATTCGATATGATTAATGTAAATTTCCACTGTGACCTCAAGTGAGGGATGAGACCGTACCCGTAGCTTCCTAGGAGATGTGGTGGCTACAGGAGGTGAGCAGGAGACAAGGACCATGCCTGGGTTCCCAGCCAGGCGTCCGGAAAGTGCTAGAAGCAGAAGTGTCTGCTGGTGCAGAGGTGAGCAAGCCTCAGGCCAGCCAAGGGTGAGCCAAGGCAGCTGATTGCCCAGAGTCCTTGCCTGGGTGCCTCCCTGTGGGTGACGTCAGCCAAGGATGGCCCCTGGTGGGTGCCTCTGGGCTTCAGAGCCACATCGCTCAAGTTACTTCTGCAAAGGGACAGCATCAGATGCCACAGGGGAAAACACTAGCAGGAAGGCGTTGGTCGGTGCCGACTTGAACCAAGATAGCCGCGTGGACGCAGTCTTCACTGTCTCCTCTGACCTACAGATCATGATCAGGAGCATCTTCCTGTTCTTGGACCGCACGTACGTCCTGCAGAACTCCATGCTGCCGTCCCTCTGGTGAGCACCCTGCCTCGGGCCACACACGTGCTGGATGTGTTGGGAGTGGGAATGGAGGGTGCAACTGGCGCAGGCAGGTACCAGCAGTGAAAGTGCCAGCCCTTTATCCAGTCTCCCCAAGTTCCATAGGCAGCCTTGCCTGTGCAGGTGGGGAGGGCACTTGTGAGGTGGAGGTCTGATCTGTGTAGGGATGGCAGAGTCGGGTTCTTGGGCCGTCACCTGGTGCCTCCCATGGCACACGTTAGCAGATGCTGGACTCGTGTGGAGCAAGGTTCAAACCTGACGTTCCCCTGTGGTACATGGGGCCCATATCTGTCAGCCTCGTCTGGCAGAGTTGTGGGGAGCTGGAGGTAAACACTGAGGGAATCCAATGCGTGTCGCACTCTGTAAGCTGGAATGTGAGCCTGGAGCTGCCATCTCACTGCTGCCCGTGCTTGCAAGGCCCCCAGCCTGGTGTGGCTCGCTTGTCCTGGGAGGCTGGCTTGTCCTGGGAGGTTGCCTGACCGCCAGTGGACATGGGAAGGGCCCTCCCAGCTTGTGGGTGGTGTTGTCACTGCTCTGTTCAGCCAGTGTGCACTCAGTCTCTGGGCAACTGGCTCACCCTTGGCTGGCCCAAGTTTTGCCTCTCAGCTGTGCCTGCTCCAGAGGGCGGGAGCCATGGCTCTGCTCTGCTGTGCACCCTGTCCAGGACAGCCTGCCTGAGGTTCCAGGAGCCTCCCAGAAACTGTTTGAGCTGTTGGTACATATTCTGAGGTCTCCCTGTTTATTTATCTTCTTTAAAAGCCAGGACTGGGCACAAGTGAAACCAGGTGCCCAGATGGGTGGCAGGGACCCAAGCATAGGAGCCGTTTCTACTGCCCTCCCGGTGCACACTCACAGAGGGATGCATCAGAAGCAGAGCCAGGGCAGAGAGTGCTAGCACCCTGCCTGAGCTCTCGGTGTGTGATTGATTTACTGACTCATCATGTGGAAGACAGCAACTCTGGGGGGTTTTTCCTGCCAGCAGGGCCCCAAGACCACCAAAGGGGTGAGACGACGGTGTTCTTTGGCTGCAGAACTACCAGGGACAGTCTGGTGGGGCATGTCCATTTATTGTAAATCTGGCACAACTTGTATAGACTAGGAAAGGGGAAGGCAGAAGGGTGGTCCCTCAGTCTTCCCACCCAACAATGACACTGTACCTGGCAAGAAGGCATGTCTATCTCTCTGGACCCTCCAACCAAGTCACAGGTCATATACCACAGTCATGGCTGGAAGCTGTGCCTCAGGTCAAGGGCAGCTAGACCATGAGTCCCATAGAGCACATAAGCTGAAAGCTCTGCCTCGGGTCACATTCACCACGTGTGGCTGGCAGATAGGCTGTGGGTCGCATTTGACTTCTTAGAGTTGCTTATCAGGGAAGTCTCAGCTCAGCTCGTCCAAGGACAGAGAAGAGAGACGGGGGTGCAGCCCACCGCTCTCGCTGCATGCCCAGTGAATGGGCCAGGTTGGGGTCTCAGTTAGCCAGAGCCATTGTCAGGGTCCCCCAGGGACACAGTGTGCCGTGTACCTATGACCTCCCACATAGGCTAAGCAGGCAGGGATCCAGGGGCCATCTCGCACACAACAGAGAGGGAGAGACCTTCTGTCTGTTGGTTTATTGCCCGATGGTCACAACTTCCAAGGTTAACCATAGCCAGGAGGTTAGATCCAGGTGGACGCTCACTCCCACATGGCTCCTCAGGCCTCGTGCAGTGTTGGTTCTGCAGGTGTGGCATGTCCAGGAAGCAGGGGTCCCCTGGGAGGCTTCCCACTGTGTGGGGTCAGTGCAGGGTGCCTGGCTGGACTCCAGCCTCCGCCCAGTGAGGAGTATGGTTGCTGGGATACAGCAGATGTTACCAGCAAAGCTCAGCGGGGTCTTTCCTCAGCTTAGTGTAGAAATAAAAAGCTGGAATCAGTTGCAGACAAAGAAGTCTTACTTACAAAGTGCCCAGGTGAAAGCAGAAGAGGGAAGGGGAATTGCATCTCAGGAGAGAGCCAGGAGATGGGGTACCTCTTGGCAGGGGGTTGCAGAGACACCATAGATTTAAGGAAGTGTTTGGGGAGTTTAAGCATTCTGTAACCCTCCTTGAGGAGAAGACACTCCCCACTGGTGGTCGCTCAGCCAGGTAGGAAATGGCCGGGCAGTTCTTGTGCCCTCGTCTGAAGGTGTGGCCGAGATTTGGGTGGACTTGGCCAGGCTCAGCAGAGGGCAGAGAACACTGCTGGTACTGTGTGCACTTCAGGCACCTTGGCCATGAGCGAGGGGTGCTGGGCACTGCAGGGAACGTGCTGGGTGACATGCCCACCAGCTTGGAGGTGACAGATGCAGGGGGTCTGGGAGAGTCCCCACGTCTCCCAGCTAATTGGGAGCATAGGTGACCTTCTCGAAGGGAGCAGGAAGCTTGCTAGTCTGGCCAAAATCCACCATTTCCAGGGGCTCCCTGGCCCTGGTAGTAAAGCAGAAGGGCATGTGTGGGGGCTTTTCCTTGAGGCATCGGGAAGTGACACGGTCACCGTCCTTTGTTTTTATTTTTTGTCCAGGGACATGGGATTAGAACTATTTAGAAATCACATTATTAGTGATAAAATGGTTCAGAGTAAGACCATCGATGGGATTCTTCTCTTAATTGAGCGAGAGAGAAGTGGAGAAGCTGTGGACAGGAGCCTGCTGCGGAGCCTGCTGAGCATGCTCTCGGATCTGCAGGTGAGTGCCTGGCCTGGAGCCCCTGTAGCTGAGCAGGGCAGGGGAGCACCTCGCCCGCCTGTCTGGTGCCCCCCATAGCTGAGGGGGGAAATGCAGAGGTTAACCATCACAGCAGTGCTGGGGAAAGCCGTAGGTGTCGGCGCCTCGGCTAGGTCAGCCGGGGCCTGCACTGAGATGTCTCTCCTTCCTTAGGTGTATAAGGATTCTTTTGAACTGAGATTTCTGGAAGAGACTAATTGTTTATATGCTGCAGAAGGCCAAAGATTAATGCAGGAAAGAGAGGTGAGACAAAGTGATGGCATTGCCTTGGTCCCTGTGTGGGGCTGGGCCGGGGTAACCTTCCGTGTGGGCACACACTTGCACACCTGCTAGTGGGCATCACATGTCTTCCCCTTCTCTAGAAGCACTGTCCCCCGCAGATCCAAGCCGATAAGGTAGGGTCTGGAACACTGAATGGGGGACTCTGGGTCCCTATAACAGGATGAGGAAACAAAGCCCAGATCATGGAAGATAAAATTCACCATCGTTTCTCATCTGTGAAGCACTGAAAGAATTCCCCAAACCATAAAACAATCATGTGCCTCAGAGACCACCTCCTTTGAAAGGCACCGTCCTCCTGTACTTGGAGAGCCAGTCTGACGTCACACCTAGCAGACAGCACAGGCACCGGGTTCTGCTCCGGCTGCCCCCCACGGGGGGCATACTCCCACAGCCCTCCCCTCAGTTGGGGCTGATGTTTGGTGTGATCATGGATTCCGTTTCAGTTCTAGAAGGGGAGCAAAATTTCAGGTTCTTGGACAACATGAAGGACTTTTTTGTACCTGATGTGCCTGAATGTTTTGTTTGGAAGGTCCCGGAATATCTTAACCATGTGAGTAAACGTCTGGAGGAGGAAGGCGATCGTGTGATCACATACCTGGACCACAGCACGCAGTGAGTACTGGTCATCCCTGCTCAGTGTCTATCCTGCACTGCCTGAAAGTAGTGCCCACTGCGGTCTTTGCACGATAAGGAACCGTGTGTGTGTGCGGGAGTCTCACTGAGCAGGGTTTTTGTTGCTGGGCCGGGGGCTGGGAAGCAGACAGTGAGAATACAGGGTGGAATAAGAGCGCCTGTCCTCTGGTTTGCTGCCCAGCTGCCTACATGCTGGGGCCCTGGGACCAAGAGCCAGGAACGGCATCCAGGCTTTCTGCCGTGTGCTGACCACCTGCTGCCTGCCAACTTGCCCATCAGTAGGACGTTGGAGGTGAACCTAGGCCTTGTGATGTGGGATGCTGCAGGCTCCTGGCAGGTGTCAGCCTGCCCCAAGCTTTTGGGATTGATCATTCTGCCAGAGGTCATGTGTGGCTGTGTTTTTTTTTTTCTTTTTTCTTACCTTTTTTTTTTAACCTTCAAACCTGAGGTTGGTAAGTAGGTAGGTAAAGAAAGGGGGGAAATTGGTGCCTGTGCCTTATATGATGGGATACCACACACAGGGGAGAGAGATGGGTGCAGAAAAGGTAACGAGAGCAAAATTCAGAAGTGGGGATGCGCATGCTGAAGCTGGGACTGGGTCCTGCTGCCCTCTGCCCAGCCAGGATGACGCAGAGGAGAGGGACAGTGGCTAGCCGATGGAGTGACACAGTGGGCTCCACTCAAGCCACGGCCCTGGACAAGTCCCGTGCATTGCAGAGGGCTGCTATGAGATTCTGATGAGGCAAGGCCAGGTGGCGTGGCCTAGTGGCTAAAGTCCTCGCCTTGAACGTGCCAGGATCCCATATGGGTGCCAGTTCTAATCATAGCAGCTCCACTTCCCATCCAGCTCCCTGCTTGTGGCCTGAGACAGCAGTCAAGGATGGCCCAATGCTTTGGGACCCTGCACCCGTGTGGGAGACCTGGAGGAGGTTCCTGGCTGCTGGCTTCCAATCAGCACAGCACCGGCTGTTGCGCTCGCTTGGGGAGTGAATCATCAGACCAAAGATCTTCCTCTCTGTCTCTCCTTCTCTCTATATATCTGACTTTGTAATAAAAATGAAGAAATCTTTGAAAAAAAAGAAAGATTCTGATGAGGCAGTGCAGTGGAGCCTGCCTTGGGAGTTTGGACTGAGGGTGATGCTTTGACGTAGGACTAAATTGCTGCCTGGATGCTGGCATCCCCTGTGGACACCAGTTGCAGTGCTAGCTGCTCCACTTAGAATCTAGCTGCCTGCTCTTGTGCCTGGGAAAGCAATCAGGCTAGCCCAAGTCCTTGAGCCCCTGCACCCATGTGGGAGACCTAGAAGGAGCTCCTGGCTTCAGTTAGCCACAGCCACAGCCATTGAGGCCATTTGGAAAGTGAACCAACAGGTAGAAGATTTCTCTTTTTATCCCTTCCTCACTATTTCTGACTCTGCCTTTCAAAAAATAACTTCTTCAAACAAAAAAGCTGAAGTGAAGGCTTGGGGAGAAAGTAAGCTGAATGTTGCTTGAGATAGAAGAGATTCTTCTGGAAACAGGCGCCAAGACTGAGCTGTGGAGTTGTGGGGAACACAGAAGTACCGTGTCCCTCATGCTTCCCGAATGTCCGTCAGTACCCTTGGCTGCGGAGGAGGTGGGGCTGGGGCCCTGGGGCTGGAGTGAGAGAAAGAGTAGACATGTCTTACTGGGCTGGATGTTGGAGCTCCACAAATGTCGGTTTGAACATGGGACCCCGGGAGGCGAGGGGAGCAGCAGTCCTGGGAACCCTTGGTAAGGCTCTAGGGCCTGGGAAGCTTAGGGGGTGAGGGGTGGCTCAGGGGCTCATGTCCCAAAGCCGCTGGCTCCTGTGGCCTTCCAGGGGTCCTGCGACTGGTCCCGTCACTCAGCAAGCTCCTAGGGTTAGGGCTCAGGAGGACCCAGTGGAGATTGGGAACCTGCTGTGGAGTGTGGCCAGCAAGGGGCAGCCTTGTCTCCTCAGGTGTGACTTGCTAAGACAGCTGCTTTCAGAACGGGCTCCAGGCGCGTGACGAACATGCTTGGGCCTTCCCCTCTGGGCCCTGATCTGCCGTGACTGTCACAGCTGAGCTGGCCCTCCGTGACATTTCTTTCCTTACACAGGAAGCCGCTGATTGCCTGTGTGGAGAAACAGCTGTTAGGAGAACATTTGACAGCAATTCTACAAAAAGGTAGCTTCTCCCCACTCTTCCGAGCAACTATCTTGTGAGGGTGACATTGGCCCCCGGGACATTTCAGGAAGCAGCCGGTAGAGCAGCATTTACTCCCCAACCAGACACCTCATCCAGGGTAAGGGCATCTTAACTACCAAGTCATGTATTGCTCCTAGAAAAGACTCAACATGTACTTAACATCCTACTGATAACAGCTGTGTTTGTGGGAGCCAGTGTTTTTGGCCAGCAGGTTAAGCCATCTGGACACTGGCATCCCAAGCCTGCTGCTCCACCTCCCACCCAGCTCTCAACAGATGAACCAAGTGCTTGTAGGGGACCCTGGAGCTCCAGGCCTGCCTGTTGCAGTCATGTGGGGAGTGAACCTTCAGATGGAAGATCTCTGTGACTGGCTCTGAAATAAATCTTTAAATACCAGTAATAAAGTGCTATCTGATTGTGAGTCAGCTGGAAAGTCCAGTTGGTTGGCAGTGACTTTACCTGATGGATGGACTCAGAGCCCAGGATGACCAGTTGGTGTGACTGTCTTGGGCTGGTGACTTGAGAAGTGCACTCCCAAGTACACTCGAAGGGAACAAGAGGTAGCTCGGGTTGACCGAGACTGTCTTGCCTGCAGACGTGGATGCAGTGCTGCCTGGAGGGCCTGCGCCTCTGGGTGGGCGTGCCTGCACTTCTGGGTGGGCGTGCCTGTGCTTGGGCCCAGTAGCTCCACGCTGACCCACTGTTCTTCCCTAGGCCTTGACCACTTGCTGGATGAGAACAGGGTGCCAGACCTCACACAGATGTACCAGCTCTTCAGTCGTGTGAAGGGTGGTCAGCAGGCACTGCTGCAGCACTGGAGTGAGTACATTAAGGTAAGCTGCAGGTTCTGTGTGGATGGACAGCAGGCCCCCATCTTGGTCCGGGTGGGACACTCCTCCTTGAGGAGCGACCGTGGGCTCTGGTGTCCGCTTGAGGCCTGCCTGGCCCTCATGCCTTTGCCCAGTGAAGGTTGCACGCAGTAGGCTGCTGCCTGTACGTCCTGTGAGTGAGGTCACCAGTGTCCATGTGGTCCTGGCAGAAGGCAGCTTTCGCAGCACTGACCTGAGCCTGTGCTGGGATGTTCCAGATGTGCATGGTACAGCCCCTGGATCCGTATGTACTGCCCAGTAACAGTCCCCTCAAAGAGGTGTGCTTGTCCAGCTCATGGCTCTTGCCCTCACGGCATCCCAGCCACGCCGTAAGAGTCCCAGGTAGTGGAACTGATGTCCTCCCTGCAGGGGGTGGCTGTGGGGAGTCGGAGTGTGGTCATGTTTGGCCCGTGGTGTTGGCAGACGCGGAGCAGGCATCTCACATAGTGAGCTCTAGAGTGACCAGGGCGGCCATTGGAGGGCAGCATCTGCACCAGCATAGTTTGCAGAACATTGCCCAGGGTCCAGGACACAAGGAGGGCTTGCCATTTTTGCCTCCATGCTGAGCTCTAGGAGACAGCAGAGAAAGCCTCTTGCAGGGCAGTGACCATCCACCACCAGGCCTCAGCAGTGGTGACAGAGTGAGAACAGTTTTCCCAAGGAGGAGGCTGCCTTCCCAGGCCCAGCCTTGGTCAGATGATGTTGAGTGATGACCTGCGGATGGTCAGCACAGTGGACCCTTGTCAGACAAGCTGGTCCTTGCACTGCACACAAGCTTTTGGATAGTGAGGTGGCACTGGTGGCTCAGGTAGGAGGGTGCCTACACCCACATAGGCGGCCTGGGTTTCCAGAACATTCATGTGGTGCCCTTGTTTATGACAAGGGCAGAGCGGTGCAGACCCGTGTGGGCCTTTGAGTAGCACAGAGAGGGTGAGGGCAGGGGACATGGTCTGTGACATGGCCCAGCATTGTGGTGCAGCAAGATAAACCTCCATCTGTAGCATCAGCAACCCATATGGGTGCCAGTTTGAGTCCCAACAGCTCTGCTTATGATCCAGCTCCCTGCTAATGCCTGTGAAAGTAATAGTGAGCTCAGTGTCTGGGCCTCTGCACCCATGTGGGAGACCCTGGCAGACTTTTGTGGGAGCTCCGGGCTCCTGGCTTTGGCCTGGCCCAGCCCCGCAGTTGGAGCCATTTGGAAAATTAACCATCAGATGGAAGCTCCTTTACTCTTACTGTAACTGTGCCTTTCACATAAATCCATCTTAAAAATGTGTGCTGGGTTGATGAAACTTGGAAGATTCTATCTGGTACTAGTATTACTTGATAGACACTGACGCCTGTCCACATGTCCTGATGGTGTGACAGCAGGAGAGCATGTCTCGGTGTCCTCCTCGTGGTGACGGCTCTGCATCCTGTTGTAGACATTTGGCACAACAATTGTCATCAATCCTGAGAAGGACAAAGACATGGTTCAGGACCTGCTGGACTTCAAGGACAGGGTGGACCACGTGATCGAGGTGTGCTTCCAGAGGAATGAGCGGTTCATCAACCTGATGAAGGAGTCTTTCGAGGCGTTCATCAACAAGAGACCCAATAAGCCTGCAGAGCTGATCGGTAGGGACACTGCAGCATGCTTCTTGACTCGGTGCTGAGGTTGGTGGAAGGGGAGGGGCGTTACTGAGTGTTGCTGAGACCTGTGCGTGCATGCATGGTGCGAACATAAGGCGGCATGGGGCCAGAGTAGAATGAGCAGGGCAAGACGGAGATGACGAGGCCTCTGTGCTGTGCTTTTCTGACCTGAGCTGTCACGTAGAAGCCACCTCAGGGATTTCCATTCAGAGGGTGGACTGTGGGCTGAGCAGCTGACAGCACCATGGAAGTTTGCCAGCTGTAGCACAGGGCCATTCAGTCCAGCCTCCTGCCAGTGCACACCCTGGCTTGTGGCCTGGGAAGGCGGTTGAGTATGGCCCAAAGCCTTGGGATCCTGTACCCGCATGGGAGACTCAGAAGAGACTCCAGGCTCCTGGTTTCAGATCAGCCCTGCCCTGGCCATTTGTGGTAATACAAGATAATCATCTTGTATCTTATCATCTGCATGCTGTAACTAGTAAAATAGGATCGAGTTAGGTGAGATCTTCAGTCATAGCGAGAAGGAACTTTATGAGTTATCATTGGTATAATTCCTTATTATAAAGTCAAAACAGTATTTCTGATTCCCTGGACACCAGTGAGGCGTTGGAGTTGTCTTGAATCGACAGAGGCAGACTGGCGTGATGGCACTGGCTGGCCCTGCACGGATGTGTTCACGACAGTGTGGGATTCATGAGACGGTTCTTTGTCTACTCAGAAAATGATGAACGGGTTTTGTTTTTTGTGTTTTTTTTTTTTTTTAAAAAAGATTTATTTATTGGGCCCAGTGCGATGGCACAGTGGTTAAAGTCCTCGCCTTGCACGCCCTGGATCCCATATGGGCACCGGTTCTAATCCCGGCAGCCCCGCTTCCCATCCAGCTCCCTGCCTGTGGCCCAGGAAAGCAGTCGAGGACGGCCCAAAGCCTTGGGACCCTGCACCCACGTGGGAGACCTGGAAGAGGCTCCTGGCTTTGGACCGGCATAGCATTGGCCGTTGCGCTCACTTGGAGGGGTGAATCATCGGATGGAAGATCTTCCTCTCTGTCTCTCCTCTCTGTATATCTGCCTGAGAGACAGAGAGGAAGATCTTCCATCCGATGATTCACCCCTCCAAGTGAGCGCAACGGCCAATGCTATGCCGGTCCAAAGCCAGGATCCAGGAACTTCTCCCGGATATCCCACGCGGGTGCAGGGTCCCAAAGCTTTGGGCCATCCTCGACTGCTGTCCCAGGCCACAGGCAGGGAGCTGGATGCCAAATGAAACAGCTAGGACTCCTAGGACTTGAACCTGTTATGCCACCACATTCGTCCCCTCAAGTTTTTAAGGATTCATGAAATCTGCGAATGAATTCCCTGGATAGTTGGCTTTCTCCCCTCATCATTTGTGACTGGTCCTGGGAGTGTGGGCTTTGCGGTTTCCTCTTGGACATCTTGGGGTGGCTGGTGCAGTCTCAGGAGCCCCTTTTCTGCAGCAGCCCCTCAGTCAGCTGGAGGCCCCAAGAGAGCTTCTGTTTAAGTCCCCTGGGTCTGTGTGGTCTTGCAGTGCCCACAGCAGTGGCTGGCTTCGTTCCACTTTGGAGAAGTCTGTTCTTAGGTGACGTGGTGGAAGTGCCTGTCTGTAAAGGCAGATGTTTGCTTACTTGTCACATGCCGCAGTGTTGCTGATTTCTGCTTGAGGGAATCAGGGGTGTTGTTTGTCTTGTCTTTCCTGATTGTCTGCCGGCTCTTCCACACTCCGCTCCTAGCCAAGCACGTGGACTCGAAGCTGCGAGCAGGCAACAAAGAGGCCACAGACGAGGAGCTAGAGCGCATCCTGGACAAAATCATGATCATCTTTCGGTTCATCCACGGTGAGCAGCTGCCCACCCGGGGGGGGGGCTCGATTTCCTGAGTGCTGCCCCCACCGGGGAGGCATGGACTGGGTGTCTGGCTCCCCACCTGTTGCGTGTGGGCCCTTGGGGAGAGAGCCGGTGAATGGGCACTCAGACTGCATCTCAGCCCCATCTACTCCTGCGCGACTCCCTGTGGCCAGAGACACGGCACAGTACACGTGCCTCCGCCATCTTGAGTGTCACCTCCTTCTCACTTGCTCACAAACAGGGAAAGACGTCTTTGAGGCATTTTATAAAAAGGATTTAGCTAAAAGACTCCTGGTGGGGAAAAGTGCCTCCGTGGATGCTGAGAAATCAATGCTGTCAAAGCTGAAACATGGTGAGTGCGTGGGCTGACACGTGGGGTCCCCTGTCCCTGACCGTGGGGTGAGCACACTGGGCCCGCCCACTGCCCTCACTGACCCCTGCCGCATCGCAGAGTGTGGTGCAGCGTTCACCAGCAAGCTGGAAGGCATGTTCAAGGATATGGAGCTTTCCAAGGACATCATGGTCCATTTCAAGCAGGTGAGCAGTTCCTCCAGGTAAGACAGTGTGGTAGAGGGGCCTCTGGGGGTGCCTGCCAGCAGTGCTGGGTGCTCCACAGGGTCAGATAACTAAAATACAGAACGGCTAGGAAAGGGGCCTAGAACTGTGTGGAGGTGCGCAGTGACCCAGGACCCACCCAGAAGAGCAGTGGCACAAGGTGGGACGTGGCTCTTTGGGCAGGACACCTTCTGGGGACCAGAATGAATGCCAACATCTCATAACGTCATTTTGCAAGCTGCATTGTTTGTAAAGCATCGTTTCTGAAGTGATGTTTGCTTCTTTTAGCACATGCAGAATCAGAGTGACCCTGGCCCGATTGACCTCACCGTGAACATCCTCACCATGGGATATTGGCCGACATACACGCCCATGGAAGTGCATCTAACGCCAGAAGTGAGTGGTGTGTCCTGTGCCCACTGTCCCTCTGTCACGGCATCATGTGCATACACCTGTCACTGGGAACAGTGAGGGTGACTGCCTTGCTGCCCATCTAGCCGTGCTCGTGTGGGTGTCGTTGGCTGTGCTGCCCCACTAGGACACTATAACAAGAGGCAGGGGCCTGGCCTTACTGAGTTAGCACCCAGCAGGAGAAGCCGGGTTTGTGAGGTGGGGTTGGGGGTGCTGAGCTGCCTCTAGGACTGTACTGGCTGTGCTCCTGACCAGGGCAGCTGTGAGTCTGGGCCTCGTGCCAGGAGGTGGCAGCGCAGAGCTAACTAGCCAAAGTTGCCTCAGCCAGTGTGCTGTGAGTGCATTGAGGTGGTCACACCCCAGAACTGCATAGTATCACTCAGCTTATCTCCACGACAACAGTGGTGAGCGTGTGAGCAGAGTGTGAGGGAACTTTCCAGGTGGGCATCCTGGTGATGAGGGGGCGATCTGCCAACTAGAGGGTGTGGATGTGGCGGGCGGGCCTCCTGCTCTTCCGCCACACCTTTCTGTAACATTGCCACATGAAGAGCTTTCTTCATGTGGAATCTGCCCCGAACTTGCCAGCAGCCCCCTTGGTGCTGGGATCCTGAGCTGCCCCAGGGTGAGACTGGAGTCATCCAACCAGGCTGGCACAGCGAAGGCATCTTTCCTTTCTTCACAACTTGCAGCTTGCAGGGAGATCCTGTTCTTCTTGGGTCCCTCTCACATACACATCCTGTCTTCCGCTACCTCAGCCATTCCCTGTGGGACACCCCCCCCCCCCCCCCGTATCTGTGTTCCTCTCAGCTCTGACTGGCGCCCCATCCGAGTCAATTACATCTGCACAGTGACACCCTGAGGTCCTGGGGGCGTTGTCCATGTCATCCAGCTGACGCCAGTCAGAGACTTTGTAGAGCATTAAGAATAGAGGAAGGAGAAGTCACCCAGAATGCATTGGCCAAACCACTATGGGTCACATAGCACTCTGTTACAAGCGTGCCATGGCAGCCTTTGTTCAGCTAGCTATGGCCCACAGAGTGCCCAGACGACAGCCAGCTGGTGGGCACACAGTGCCCGGACCATAGCCAGCTCACGGGTCACACCATGGGGGCTGGAAGTATTGCTGAATCGAGAATCACTTGTGTGGCAAGAAACCCCAGTGTCATGGATGGCAGATAACCAGAGAAGAAACTAACCACTACGGCAGTTTTGTGATGGCGCTGTCGGAGATAGCAGAGACTCCTTCAGCAGGCGTGGGTGTTCATGAGCGGAAACGATATTTACTAGTTTGTCTCCTGTGATTGGCAGATGGTCAAACTTCAGGAAGTATTTAAAACCTTTTACCTCGGGAAGCACAGTGGTCGGAAACTTCAGTGGCAGACGACTTTGGGACACGCTGTTTTAAAAGCAGAATTTAAGGAAGTAAGTCTTGGTCTATTTTCTTTACTCAGTGCAACTGTAAGAGTTAAGTAGTAAATGTTCCCGGAAGGAGATCAAACCACTGTGAAGAAACATGGTCCTGAGAGGGGCAGATGTGAGCAACTCCTGAGAGGCAGGCAGGCAGGGTCCAGGAAATCTCTTCCCCACCTCCAACCTTCCCTCTGTCCCCACTGCCGCTAAGGCCCAGGACACCCTGACAGGTCACAGGACACGTGGGAGAGTCATGACATGTTCACCCTGACAGGTCACAGGACACATGGGAGAGTCATGACATGTTCACCCTGACAGGTCACAGGACACGTGGGAAGTCACGACACGTTCACCCAGACAGGTCACAGGACATGTGGGAAGTCACAACATGTTCACCCTGACAAGTCACAGGACACGTGGGAGTGTCAGGACACATTCACCCTGACAGGTCACAGGACACGTGGGAGAGTCAGGACACGTTCACCCTGACAGGTCACAGGACACGTGGGAGAGTCAGGACACGTTCACCCTGACAGGGCACAGGACACGTGGGAAGTCATGACATGTTCACCCTGACAGGTCACAGGACATGTGGGAATCATGTTTTTGCTTGACTGCAAATTAAATACACTAAGCAATATAAATTCTGTCTGACATGGCTAGCATAATGCATTTTCACAGTAACACATGCATGTTCATGTGCAGTGCCATACAGTGTTCTTTGCGTTACACCACACAGACTCATCTGTCGTGGCAGGAAGTTAATTCTGGTGGTCCCTGCAATTGCCAGGACCAGGCTGAGCTGGAGCCAGCAGCTCCTTCTGAGGGTTCCCCACCTACCTGGGCCACCAACCACTGGTTTCCCTGAACAAGCAGCCAGATTGGTGTGGCTCTCAGCCTGCCATGGCCAGAATACCTGCCCCTGTTCTTTCCATGTGGGCCTGAGGTATGTTTGCATTTCCACTTCCTGGCCTGCTCCTTGGCTGAGCATCCTCACCTTGTGTGTGTTCCTGCCGCCACCGAGGGTCCTCGGCTCCACAGCGGATGGAGGTTCAGCAGGCGCCAAGTCACCATCAGACTTCCGAGCTGAGGGAGAGTGGGAGAGGATTAGGACCCTGTGCACGGTGACGTCTTCTCATTTGCTGTGACTAGTAGCTCTTAGTCCCCTCACACATGGTGTGAGAGCAGAGGAAGCTGATGAGGCTTGTTGGCTGTCCAGCATGGCCTCAGGGGCACCTCTGCTCGTGCAGGGCAAGAAGGAGTTCCAGGTGTCGCTGTTCCAGACACTCGTGCTCCTCATGTTCAACGAGGGTGACGGCTTTAGCTTCGAGGAGATCCGGGTGGCCACCGGCATAGGTGAGCACGTCTCAGGTGCAGGCACACCGGGGTTCCCTGCTGCTGCTAACTCCTCTGACGTCCAGGGGAGCAAGGGCTGGGCCAAGGCCAGGAGCCTTGAGGGCTGGGCCTAGGAGCCCGGGTCTCCCCACGCTGGCTCCTGGGCCCCTGCTGCTGCCAAGTCTGGCTCTTACATCGCCTTTGCTTCCAGAGGAGAGTGAGTTGCGACGAACGCTGCAGTCACTGGCCTGTGGGAAAGCCCGTGTCCTAGTGAAAAGCCCCAAGGGGAAGGAGGTAGAAGACGGGGACAAGTTCATTTTCAACGGAGACTTCAAGCACAAGTTGTTCAGGATCAAGATCAACCAGATCCAGATGAAGGAAACGGTGCGTAGAGCTGTCAGTGACGCACGCGCTACTCCTGGGCTGTGCTGGCGCTGTGGTGACTTCACCGTTCCACCAGCAGCAGGGATGAGCTCATGCATGCTCCCAGCCCCAGGCTGTGGGTGTCCCCAACGTGCGTCTGCTTTGTCTGGGAATTTCACCAGACAGGGCTTCTCCAGTGTCCCCTGCCCAACAGCCCTCACTGTACAGCCCTGGCCCCACCTGACCAGAGCTGCTTACCTACTCATCTCTGGATACACCCAGCTGTGACCCGGGCCTGGGCAGTGGTGGCATCTCTTCAGACCAGAGGGATGTCCTCACCAAGGCTGTGTCCTACCTGGCACCCCGGCTCCCCTGGCCAGAGGTGTGTTAGAAAGCGTCACACTCAGTGGTAACCATTTAAGACAAAAGTACTGTCTGTATTTTATAACTCAGCCTAGATTATTGAGGATTTAATCACATCCAGATTGGCAAGTTCATGGGGAAGAGATGTTCCTTGTTTTTGAAAGATACTTGATAATTGTGATTTTGTATTCAATGAAAGTGTTTTGTTATGAGGTGACAAGTAGTTTTGGTTTCCACTTGGTACTTCCCACCCACGAGACAAGTATTCCTATTCTCATTAGCAGAGTTCATGTTTAAAATGTGCTTTTCAATGAGAAGTTGAATAAGCATGAATCTAGTTCACATTTCTTGTGAAATAACCTTTTATGCTTTTTAACTTTAAAAGTGTCTAGCATCATGCCACCTTGACTGCACATGTGCACATTGTAGACATAGTCTGACGAAGGTGAATGAGACAGAGTGAGGGTCTCCTGCTTGGGGTCCTGACCGGGGTCAGCGAAGCAGTGTTTGTGACCAGGCACCAAATGGTGAGCAGTAACACTGTGGCTACACTCCATGTAGTTCTTGGTGGAACTTTTCTGTGGTAGTGTGCGTTTTTTAGTCCCCTTTTTAAAATTTGTTTCCATGCCGATTCACTCCCCAAATGTCCACAGTCATGGGGCTGGTCCCCCCAGTGGACTAGCAGGGGCCCAAGGCCTGTTCCAGGGTGCATGTCAGCAGGAGGTTGGAGTTGGAAGCCAGAGCCTGATTCCTCCACAGCCACTCGTGGGTGAAATAATGCCAGCCTTTGTTTTCTAAAGTGAAAAAGAAAGCACGACTGCTAGTTCACTCCCCATGTATCCCAAAGCCAGGAGCCGGGAATCTTCATCCAGTCTTATGTGGACTCGGGCCATCTTTAGCTGCTTTTCCTAGGTCTCCTGTGGGTGCCAGCGTGGGTGGCTGTGGCTTAACCTGCTGCTTTCATGGGTCTCCCCCACCAGGGGCCCCGGGTGATATGTGACCAGCCCCAGAGCTGTCCCTTACAGTAGGCCCGCTTTGGCAGGTATCATGGTGTGGGAGAGCAGCTCTGCTCACTGAGTGGGCCCCACAAGGCTCCCTCTAGCTTCTCGTGGCTCCATAGCTCGTGTCCTCTCTGTGATGGAGCACAGCTCATCATGCACGCACCGTGCGCGTCAGCTTGCTTCCAACCGTGGCAGCTGTGAAGGTAGCTCTCAAGGATGTCCGCACAGGATTCCACTGAGGACATAACTGTTATTGGGCCAATTTGACAGGCCTAGAGCGATTGCAGTGTGGGGATGCCATCTCTTATCCCAAAGGGAGCCAGAATGCTGCCTTGGGCAGCTTTCCTTCTAGGAGCTTCACGCATGCACACCACTGTACCACTGCAGGCTGCACAGGGCCCATGTGTGGGGTGCAACATGCCACAGGACCCTGTGGTGTACAGCGTGCTGCAGGCTATGTAGGGCCCTCTTGGGACTCTGCAGGGCCCATGTGGGATGAAGCGTGCCGCAGACTACGCCACCTCTTGGACCTTTGTGGGAGCCACACCAAGTCCTAGCTTGCCTCACTTCCCACCCTGCCGACTGACCAGCTGCTGGCTGTGATGCTGTGGTCCCATCGTCTGGTAGCGCCAGGGGAGTGAGCCAACTAGTGATTGGTGTCTGTCTCTCTGCCCTCCCCCCACAGCTCTGCCCTTCATAGACCTAGATGTGTCTTCACCGAACATGGCAGTATAGAACATAGCTAGGTTTTGTCTTCCTAAGTTTAGGGAAGAGATGCCAACCTCCCACCCCTGCCCACCCTACCCCTTCAGCTGGAGGCCAGTACTAGCTGTTTGCTCTCAGTAACTGCTGGAGGTTGTGTGTTTGTTACTGTTAGGTTTCTATGCGCAGGGCTCAAGTTTGTTTAAAGTGGGCTGTGCCCTCAGCTCGGCATGGCTGTTGCCCAGCTGGTCACTGCCTGGCAGAACTGTGTCCTTGGAGCTGACCCTCACAGCCATGAGACTGCTGTGTTTTGTTCAGTGTTGGTTGGGTTGGTAAGCTTAATCTACTGATAAGTGGAATTTTCCTTTTTTTTTTTTTTTGTGATTCTACTAGGCCATATCTAAATGTGTAATACAGCAGGGTTCATCCTGAGTCGTCCCCTCTGCCTCTGAGGAAAGCTGCGGGGTGGAAGGGTTGTGCCCTCTGACCGAGTGTGCCTTCGGCAGGTGGAGGAGCAGGTCAGCACCACTGAGCGAGTGTTTCAGGATCGCCAGTACCAGATCGATGCGGCCATTGTCCGGATCATGAAGATGAGGAAGACCCTCAGTCACAACCTCCTGGTGTCTGAATTGTACAACCAGCTGAAATTCCCAGTGAAGGTAGACGACGGGTAGTATGGAGTCGCGGAGGAGGCCCGGGCACAGGGGAGCAGGTGCAGCGTGGGAATCCAAACACACTGCTCAGTGGTTGCAAGGGCCATGACCACCTCACAGGATGGGTTATCAGCAGTGAGCAGCCACAGAGCACCCCTGCCTTGGGGTTGTCCCACCATGGGGGCTCATGTGCCTCTGTCACTGATCTGGGCATCCATTATGCATCCCATTAAGAGGACAGGACTGGGTCACGTGGTGTTATGGTGCTATAGGCCAAGTTTCCACCTGCAGGGCTGGCATCCTGTACAAGCACCCGTTTGAGGCCCAGCTGCTGCATTTCTGATCCACCTCTCCTAATGCGCCTGGGAAAGCAGCAGAGGATGGCCCACATGCTGGGACCCTTGCACCCACATGGGAGAGCCAGAGGAAGCTCCTGGCTTCGGCCTTTACGAGCCACTGCTGTTGGGGCCATTTGGGGAGTGAGGCAGTAGATGGCAGATCTCTCTCCCTCTTTCTGTCTTTGTAACTCAGCCTTTCAAATGAATCAGTGTGTGGTGGCACATCACCAGCCCGGGAAGTCAGGAGCACATGTGCCCCGCCTCTTGGTGCCCTCAAGAGCCCGGGGTCTGAGACCAAGTGCTTGTCATGTGTCCTCTGTTGGGAGCGCTGATCACTCGGCTGAGCAGCCACAGTGGAACCCTGGGCTCACAGAGGTGACTGCATCATGCCGACAATGAGCGTGGCCAGCAAGGTCAGGCTTTGAGGTCAGCACAGTGTGCAGCTCACCACAGCATGAGGTCAGTTTTCCCAGAGAGCTGCTTTCAGCCATGTCTTTTTGGGAGGTGTTTTTTTGGTTGTTGTCGTTGTTTGTTTTTTGTGAAGGCAGGTGTGCAGAGACAGAGACCATCCATCCTCTGGCTCACTCCCCAGGTGGCTGTCATAGCCCGAGCTGAGCTGATCTGAAGCCAGGAGCTTCTCAATCTCCCTCTTGGGTGCAGGGTCCCAAGTGTTTGGGCCGTCCTACACTGCTTTCCCGGGCCACAGGCATGGAACTGGATGGGAAGAGGAGTGGCTGGGGCACACACTGACACCCTCTTGGGTGCAGGGTCCCAGGGCCTGCGGCCATCCTCCACTGCTTTCCCAGGCCACAGGCAGGGAGCTGGGTGCTGGTGCTGCACATGGAGGGTTAGCTTGCTGTGCTACTCTGCTGGCCCCCAGCCCTGGCTTATAAATCGTATGGCCGATCATTGCACGGGTATGCCCCTGTACCATGTCAGGGAAGTCCTATGACTGGGTGAACCTGGGTGGGCTGACCTGGGTCCCAGAGGGGCACTTCTAGGGCATGACTGCCAGGTCCCTTCCTAGGCAGCCCGCAGTGGGAGGTATTTGCCTCAGGCAGGAAGCGCTATTGGTCGTTCCCACTGCCATTCCCTGTCCGTGGGGGGGTGGGGGAGGGACATGGCTATAGGTTACAGGTGGTGGTTGCCACCATGGTTGAGCTGTTGGCAAACATGTCAAACATGTCAAAGGCCTGGTTCATTTTCTTTTTCAGCCTGGAGATTTGAAGAAGAGAATTGAATCTCTTATAGACAGAGACTATATGGAGCGAGACAAAGACAATCCAAATCAGTACCACTACGTGGCGTGAGCTTCGCTGTGTCGTCTTTAGGGAAACACTAGAATGGACCTTGGAGCAATGGCACCTGCCTGCAGGCTCTAGGACTCTGGCAGAAGCAGCTGTGGACCCAAGAAGAGAGGACAGGCAGGCCGGCCTCGTCCCGCAGGGCTCTGGGCGCCCGGGGCGCGTGTATCTTTATTTCCTCCAGTTCTTTTAGGCTTTTAAATTGTTCTATGCTTTGTGCAAAATGAGATTGGGCAGAAAATACTGGTTCCAGGAGGTCCCTTATTGTGGGACAAAGAGCTGAGCATTTGGTTTGCTTCTGTGTGTGTGGTCAGTGTGTGCCGTCAAGACAAATGCTGCATTTTGCTGTGAGGTGGCTGAGGTTCCTCAAGCCAGGCGCTCCTGGGTGCCGCTCATGGAGAGGCCATCCCTTACCGGGCAGGTGTCCGCACTTGTCAGCGAGGCAGCCTCAGCCCCCAGTGCCTGTGTGTTCCAGCTTTTTGACTGCTTTCTTAATCTTGGGTCTCCTGGAGAGATGTGTAGAGGTGTGGGGGGACTGGTAGCTGTTTGCGTCTTCTTTGTGAGACGATCTAGGAAGTTGTTTTCTGATTGAACTGCAGCACCCATGTGGTTGCTGTCCTGGGAAGAGGGCAGGGCCGCTCTGCCCACCACTGTGTCCTGTGCGGGCACTACCCTGTGCCCACCACTGTCAAGCATTCTAGGAGACTTCAGGTCTTGACATTGTCAAACAGACGTTATTTTGTCGAAAGATTAAAAGGCTTTTGTTGGCACTTGGCTACGTGTGTGTGTGTGTGTGTGTGTGTGTGTGAGTGTGAGAGCGGCCTATGGGAAGTTGGCTGCTGCCTTGTGGCTGACCACAGGAAGAAGTACTTTGTTTGGCATAACAGCATGTTTCATTTTGATTACAAGCTACCAAAGGAACTTTGATCATGGCATAAGTATCTAAAGCAATATTTTCTAGAATATACCAAGTTTATATCATTTGATTTTGTGCTAAATTATTAAGAGTCTCAGTTTTCAAAACGTGCCTGTTTAGAATATGACATTTGGGTTGCCCTATTAAAATCCTTATTCTTCAAGTATTGTTATTTCTGTATTTGCAAGTTTTCACTTGTGAGTTCTGATAGGTGGGCTGTAAGAAGCCAGGCTATTCCTGTTTCTCCTTGAATTTCAGGTTCACTGTGTTTGGAAATTGTTGGTGTGATTTATGTAGGCTTCCTTTGAATAGTTCATTTAGCCTTAAGACCACATTAATAAAACTGATACGCAAGCACACATTCCTGCTAACTCTTCCACGCACACTCCGGACAAGCAGGGACACCTGTGTGCCCACCAGCCGGCCTCCCTGCCTGTTCCCTGGGGGAGCAGAGCTGCTGCGGAACCTGCCGGGCCTGTTTGTTCTCATCCCTCCTGTAGAGGTGAGGCTGCCAAGGAGGCTGTTTTACCCAGGGGCAGTGCCTGGGGAAACGGGGTGTGCACTTAACCTAGGTGCAGGGCAGTGCCCTGGTAACATGCGACCTCGTGAGGGGAGTTGCTGCTTGCTGCAGAGCTGTGACAGTCTGGGCCAGGGGAGGCCAGTGCAGTGAGGGTGGCATCAGATGGGCTGTTCAGTCGGACAGGGGATGGCTTGAGCAGCCCTGGTTGTAGGAGAGGCAGCCAGATGTGTGGAAGGGGAGCAGACTGAGTGGCCTGCACAGGAGACCAGGATAGTTCAGAAGTGAGCTCAGGCTGGGTTTGGTGGAAGCCACCACAGGTTGATGCCAGGCAGGGCCAGCAGAAATGGCAGGCCCTGTCACCTGGGGGCAGTCAGGTGTACAAGTATGTGACAGCAGGTAGGCTATAAGTACCACCCAGGAGGAACTGGACTTGGCAGAGGGTCAAAGGAGTGAGGGGAGGGGTGCTGCTGCAGCCGTGTGGGCCCCAACCTCCTGCCAAGGCTGCAGTAGCTACTGCTGGCAAGTGACAGATCTGTGCATGGGGTCAGCCACTGTGACTGATACATCCATGGCGGGGTCACCCACTGTGACTGACACATCCATGGGGTCACTCTCATTGTGACTGACACATCCATGGCGGGGTCACTCTCACTGTGACTGACACATCCATGGTGGGGTCACCCACTGTGACTGACACATCCATGGGGTCACTCTCACTGTGACTGACACATCCATGGCGGGGTCACTCTCACTGTGACTGACACATCCATGGCGGGGTCACTCTCACTGTGACTGACACATCCATGGGGTCACTCTCATTGTGACTGACACATCCATGGTGGTGTCACCCACTGTGACTGACACATCCATGGCGGGGTCACCCACTGTGACTGATGCTTCAGTGAGTGTGGATCACTCTGGCACAGAGGAGCCACAGTTTGACCCCTGGGCCCTGTGTGGGCGGTGGGCACCCCAGGCAGCTTCAGAACAGTGAGGCCACAAGCTGACCCTCATCTCTGTGTGTGTGCACACGTGTGCTTTCCTAGATGAAAAGTTTGCTGCTTTCTTGGGAGAAAGTTCCTTTTTCATAACCTTCTAGAATCAAAACTACTTGTGGCTTAGGGGTTTCGAGGAGTCAATAAAATGTGCCTGTTTCAGAGGCTGAACAGCAGCGTGGACAACTTGTGGCTAACCCACCAGGGCCAGCATAGTGGCTCAACAGGCTAATCCTCCACCTGCAGCACCAGCATCCCATGTGGGCGCCAGTTCAAATCCCAGCTGCTTGACTTCCCATCAAGCTCCCCGCTTATGGCCGGGGAAAGCAAAGAAGGACAGCCCAAGGCCTTGGGACCCTGCACCCATGTGGGAGACTGGGGAGAAGCTCCTGGCTTCCGCCTGGCCCAGCAACTGTAACGGTATGAGCCAGCGGGTGAAAGATGTGTTCCCTCTGTAACTCTGCCTTTCCCATAAATAATAAATCTTTTCTTTAAAAATTAGTTTGGTGCAAGTTTCACTTGAAAACGGCGCCTCACCCTCATGGGCCTGGGTTTTGGGGAAGGCCGAGACAACCCAGCTCCGGGGACGCTGCAGGACAGCCCAGGACGCAGCGGCCCTCTGGGGTCACCCCGTCCGGGGCCTAGAAAAGAGGCGCTCCTCCTCCTCGGGCCAGGGCGGTGCCCGTGGGCAGCCTGGGGCCGGGATGGAGCCAGGTCACAGATGACAGGGCGCCCTCCCCGGCCTGGGGACGTCCGGGGCCAGTCCCTCCCCGCCAGTGACTGCGTCACGTGGCCCCACAGTCACGTGGGGCGCCCTCCGGGGGCCGGCTCGGCGCGTGCATGCTCTCGCGAGAGCCGCGCTCACGTGACGGCGGGCGCGGCGCGCTCACGTGACGCACCGGCCGCGGGGTCTCCTTGGCGCCGGCGCCGCAGCGCTCGGACCCGTCCGGCGGGGCGGTCGGTGGTCGTCGTCGCGCGCGTCCGCAGCTCGGCTCCCGCGGCCCAACCGCCGCCCTCGGCCTGCGTCCGGCTCCTCGCCCCGGCACCGGCTCGGCCGCCTCGCGCCATGGCGGTCCCCGGCGGCGTCCTGCGACCGCTGCCGCTGCTGCTGCTGCTGCTCGGTGAGCTCCGGGGGCCGGGGCGGCGGCGGCTCCACGGCCGACTCGGGACCGCCGTTCTTCCCTTCCGGGCTGGCAGCGCGCGTGTCCGAGCGGGGTGACCTCGCCGCTGGACCGGGCGGGCTGGTGGGCAGGGGGGCAGGTGGGCAATCGGACCCCCGTCTGACCCGGGCTGCTGGGCAGGTGGGCAGGTCGGCAGCCCAACCTTCTGACCCGGGCTCTTCGGCTGGTGGGCAGGTCGGCAGCCGGACCCCCATCTGACCCGGGCTGGTGGGCAGGTGGGCAGCCGGACCCTCATCTGACCCCGGGCAGGTGGGCAGCCGGACCCCCGTCTGGCCTGGGCAGGTGGGCAGCCGGACGCCCATCTGACCCGGGCTGGTCGGCAGGTGGGCAGCCGGACCCCCGTCTGACCCAGGTTACTGGGCATCTGGGCAGCCAGACGCCTGTCTGACCCTGGCTGCTGGACAGGTGGGCAGCCAGACCCCCGCGCACCCAGTGTCCCAAGCCTGCGTCAGTTCACAGCTTGGGACTAGTGCCCGTCTCTGGACTTGATGTGACTGTGGTCCCCGTCCTCTGCTCACTCGCCAAATGGCCACAGTGGCGGGGGGTGGGGGGGGCAGGCCTGAGCCTGAGCTGAGCCAGCACCTGCTCCCTCAGGGTAGCCAGCAGCTGGGGAAACCTGCTTTATCTTATGACTTCTTTATTTGAAAGGGAGAGGCAGAGCCTGGGGCTTCAGGGGGCCCTGGGGATGCAGGGGTCCCCGTGCTTGGGGTCACCTAGAAGCAACATGCAGCACTAAGAACCTGGCTTCTCCAAAGATCCTGTAACACCTGCTTGTTCCCGAGCCCAGGGTCCCCACACGTGGGATGCTGTGCAGGAGCAGGCCAGGGGCAGTAGGCTTAGAGTGTATGGTGATGGGGCTGAGTGCTTTCCCAGGCCACAAGCAGGGAGCCTGATGGGAAGTGGAGCAGCTGGGACACACTGTGCCACGGCACCGGCCCCCAGGTTCCTCCCAGCTGTGATGAGGCGGTACCTGCCACCAGACATCCCGATCAGTGCAGTGTGGTGTGCACAGCACACCTTCAAAGCCAGTCCTGTCTCCTGGGTCCCTGTTCCGAGGACCTTCCTGAAATCGCACACAACCAGGCTTTTCTTCTCAAGAAAGATGATTTCATTTGAAGCACAGAGTTGGGAAGGGAGCGAGTTGAAGGTCTTTGGCTCACTCCTCACACGGCTGCAACCGCTGGGGCCAGGCTGGGCCTAAAGCTCTGTCCTGGTCTCCCATTTGCACTCCGGGGCCCAGAGAATTGGCAGCTTTTCTGTTCCTTTCCCAGGTGGGTTGGCAGGAACTTGGATTGGAAGCAGAGCAGGTGGCACTTGAGCCAGCACCAACACTGCATGTGGCTGTTGCAGAGAGTGGCCTAACCCATTGGCCACACTGCTGGCCCCACGACAGCATGGTGGTTCCTACCACAGCAGTGGTTTCAGAGAATTCAAAAGGCCCCTTTGTGACCCAGTGGCTTGGTGAGTGACGAGGCCTGGCGGAGCCTCAGGCTGCTGTGTGATCCTCTGCACTTGTGGAATTGGCAGGTCTGGCGCATGGTGTGGAGTTCACAGTGAAGAATAGCAACAACACAGCATGCATAATGGCCAACTTGTCAGCGAACTTCTCTGTGACCTATGAAACCACGAGCGGTCCCAAGGTAGGAAGTGCCACTGGCGCTTTGCTCCTCTGTGTGAGGGGTGTGAGTGTGTGTGTGTGCGCGAGTGTGACACCGTGGGCCCCGTCAGGCCCGAGTAGCAGTTTCATCACACATGTCCCCGCCCTCCTGGCTGTTGTGTAAGCATGGTGCTGGCTGGGCCTTTCAGAACCCGTTGTCCTGCCCTGCAAGTGGCTCTGTGGCATTTGCTGCAGCACCTTGTCGGGCCGTGCTGCTTATGTCACCTGCCTTGTTCTGCACGAGAGGCAGAAGGTGGTCTTGAAGCCAGTAGCTGCATGTGTGTGCTTCATTCTAACTTCTCCGTTGGTATTTTGTTTAGTTTTGTAAGAGTAAAAGGGAGGAAGAGCTCTTGCGTCCATTGGTTCACTCCCTAGTGGCCTCAGCAGCCAGGCCGCCATCCTGGGTGACAGCGTGCTAAGCACTTGGACCGAGCTGGGACTCAGCTAGACCCGACACAGGAAATGGGGTGCTGGACTCACTGTGCTGGGTCACAATGCTGCCTCCTCCTGCTGCTGGCTGCTTGTAGACATGGGTGGGATCTCCCCTGGATTTGTATTTATGATTGTCTGCGGGTGCTGCACTCAGGTCATGTGACTGTGGTCCCAGGTGGAGCACTCACTGGAGTGCTTTGGCTCGCATGGTGTCCAGGAGGTCCTGCGACTAGAAAGACAGAGAGAGGAAGGGACAGAGAGCTCTTGCAGCCATCGGTTCACTTCCCACACGGCCACAGTGGCCGGCGCTGGGCTGGCCTCTGCTGCTTTCCCAAGTGTGTTAGCAGGAAACTGTGTGAGGTGCAGCAGCTGGGACTT